CAGTCGTACACATACACACGCACGCACCATCACCAACAACAACAAAAACACCAAGACATACACCCCACCTCATGTCTAGCCCCAGGGTGGTCCACGTAATTGCATCCCCAACAGACGCCGTGGTGCATAAGCGAGTGAAAAAGACGCAATCAGTAAATCATATAGCAAGGATTTCAACAACTGAATTTGTATGTTTTCAATGATTTTTATTATATTGGTAAGGTATTCATTCTCCTTTACTTATCAGCATTAAAACTATAATATTGTGTGCGTTTTGAAACTGTGCAAATTATGCCATAAACAGAGCAATTCCAAATCCATTATACATGTGGCATCATATTTTAACATTTATTACAATAATATGTATTCATCACAGACAGTATTAATCATGGGTGGAGCAGGCGTGTCTCGTGTCAGCTGAAGTGCTGACTATTGAGGATTGGTTGTTTACCCTCCGTAGCTATGGTAATATGTGTATAAGTGACTGGTTTTCCTGGACAAGACTCGATGACTTACAACCCACAGTAATATTGCTCCAACACTCCTGACCTGCGTTCAAGAAATAATCACCAACATGTGTCCAAGGCACGGGTTGTGGTACAAGGGAGGTAACTCGTTATTCCTAATACTGATAATGTCGGTCATCTGGAATTAAAAGCAGTGAGATCAATAACAGTAGATAATCGGAGGTGATTACGCTCTACGTGACGCAGTGTATATTATATCTGACTGGTTACTTGGAAGCTATTCGACAGCTGACTACTTCCAAGGTTGTTCACAGCTACCAGAGTTGAACATGTGGATTCTCACGACTCGAGTCTGCAGTAAAATCCTGCTATAGGGTCAGTTTCTTTTTCAGTTAACTCACTGGCTCGTGCAAAATAAACGCCTACAACCTGATACAGCTCTAGTTGTTACCGAAATGACACTTGTAGTATTGTGTCTACAGTTTAGGAAGGTATGTTGTTATGGTAAATTACTGCATAATGTTCTACAAGCTAATACAGCTCTAGTTGTTACCGAAATGACACTTGTAGTATTGTGTCTACAGTTTAGGAAGGTATGTTGTTATGGTACATTACTGCATAATGTCCTACAACCTAATACAGCTCTAGTTGTTACCGAAATGACACTTGTAGTATTGTGTCTACAGTTTAGGAAGGTATGTTGTTATGGTACATTACTGCATAATGTCCTACAACCTAATACAGCTCTAGTTGTTACCGAAATGACACTTGTAGTATTGTGTCTACAGTTTAGGAAGGTATGTTGTTATGGTACATTACTGCATAATGTCCTACAACCTAATACAGCTCTAGTTGTTACCGAAATGACACTTGTAGTATTGTGTCTATAGTTTAGGAAGGTATATTGTTTTGGCACATTACTGCATAATGTCCATAATGTACTAGTCACAAAAAGAAACAGCACATAGGAAATCAAAACCTATATTGGAACTACATGTGTACACAAATACTGAAGTACAGATGGCTTTGTGATGGACCAGCTTCTAGTTGGATAGACATCCATTATAATTAGTACATTATTAAACACAGAGAATTGAACTGCACAAATGTATAGGTGCCACTATCGTGACATCAGCAGTTTCCGTATCTGCGCGCCAAAAGGGTTTGTGTGGGACACGTGAAAGTTGTCGATTTGTTTAAGCTTATGAACCGTACATCATGCCACGTCTCATGATTGCATGACGTCATGACGCTACTGGGATGGTCCGTGGGGGAACGTCTCAATGTCGGGTGACTTCACGACGTCATGACGCTACTGGGATGGTCCGTGGGGAACGTCTCAATGTCGGGTGACTGCACGACGTCATGACGCTACTGGGATGGTCCGTGGGGAACGTCTCAATGTCGGGTGACTGCACGACGTCATGACGCTACTGGGATGGTCCGTGGGGAACGTCTCAATGTCGGGTGACTGCACGACGTCATGACGCTACTGGGATGGTCCGTGGGGAACGTCTCAATGTCGGACTGACTGCACGACGTCATGACGCTACTGGGATGGTCCGTGGGGAACGTCTCAATGTCGGATGACTGTTATTTCCACTGACCATTTCAGCACCGACAGGGTGCCGTCATGACGCTACTGGGTATGGTCGATCGTGCCAGTCGTAAGTCTATGTTAAGGTATGGGAGTTACGATCACCTCGCTCAATGTCGTTAAGGTGACTGCAGTCGACTATGTTAAGGTATGGGAGTTACATCACCTTAGACGCCAGTACTATGTTAAGGTATGGTCCACCTTAGCGCTACGCCAGTCGTAAGTCTATGTTAAGGTATGGGAGTTACGTCTCTCTAAGTGTCGGTTAAGGTATGGGAGTTACGATCACCTTAGCGCTACGCCAGTCGTAAAGTCTATGTTAAGGTATGGGAGTTACGATCACCTTAGCGCTACGCCAGTCGTAAGTCTATTTCGATCACCTTAGCGCTACGCCAGTCGTAAGTCTATGTTAAGGTATGGGAGTTACGATCACCTTTAGCGCTACGCCAGTCGTAAGTCCATGTTAAGGTATGGGAGTTACGATCACCTTAGCGCTACGCCAGTCGTAAGTCTATGTTAAGGTATGGAGTTACGATCACCTTAGCGCTACGCCAGTCGTAAGTCTATGTTAAGGTATGGGAGTTACGATCACCTTAGCGCTACGCCAGTCGTAAGTCTATGTTAAGGTATGGGAGTTACGATCACCTAGCGCTACGCCAGTCGTAAGTCTATGTTAAGGTATGGGAGTTACGATCACCTTAGCGCTACGCCAGTCTATGTTAAGGTATGGGAGTTACGATCACCTTAGCTCTACGCCAGTCGTAAGTCTATGTTAAGGTATGGGAGTTACGATCACCTTAGCGCTAAGATTGCTTTGTAGAACGGCACCCTGAACAATAATGATTCTGATCGCCCACATACAGGTCGTTATGCGTCAGGGTGTCAAGATAGGACAGATGGATGAGGCAAAGGGGAACAGGTTGCAGACTGTACTGACCACTGCTCAGACCATTCCTGACTTTGGCGTATCCATCCTAACACAGTCGGAACCTTCAGGCATTCACATTGTTGACCTCTGTAGGTAACACGCCTGGGCGTTGCCTAGCTCGCGATTATATATTTGAATAGACACGACTAATATTTAAAATATGCGGTCATAAGCAGAATCTGAATTTAAAAACATGTAATTAAAACGATACGATGGCTAAATAATGCAGACCATAAAAATACGCCGAAAGTGACCCTTGGTATTCGTGATTAAAATATTTATTAAAAAAAATCCTAAGTTGATCAACTGTTGGGGAAAAACAGTGAAGAATCAAAGAATTATAATGTCCACAACAGTTCAAATAAAATATTCTGAGAAAAATGCATGTTGAGTGTTTGACACATCATCTACCGTTTCCGGGTCACGGGAGGATACAAGGTCAAACAGGTTCTGTGATACCCCAATTATATGTTGTTTTTCACACGAACTATGATTAATCATACTGAATTGTTATCTGTCTTAAAGCTGGATCTTACACATTTACTGTTATATTCTGTCACGAATGATTATTAGCAGACAATCACTGCCTGTGACATGACATCCCACGATCATTGCGCGTACTGACAAAAATGCTTTCATCACCACTCGCCCGTTTCCTTAACCTACAAGGAGAGTCTCCACCCTATCGATGAATGTTATGCGCGAAGCTAAGACACACCAATCGGAATTTGGGTAAGGATCGATGTTCTTTGATAAGATTAATCCCGAGGACTTAAATCCGTTGTGGCATTATGTGATTGTTTAAAAATCATTTAAAATATGTGTAGTCAGTACCCCAAAAAACCAAAGCTAACAGAACTGTGTTGGCTAAATTGATGTTTTTAGTGAAAACAGGGCCATGAACGGTAAGAGATTCAAATACACATACATGGGTTTGTGTACATAACGGCTCGCTTGTTTCCAACTGATTGTTTTCTCGGGCGATCTTGCGGACTTGCTGTGGAGATTGTACGTGCGCTTTCGATATGTTTAGGTATTTAAATTAGGGACCGTTCATAATTTATGGCTTTTGGGGGCGGGGGTGTTGGGGTGGTTTGGTGTTGATGATTTTAATGGGGGTCACCCATTTAGTTGTGGGGAGCTAGGGGGTATCAATTTTGTACACACGTACTAGGGGGAGTCAGCAATTTTGTACATAAAAATATGTTTTAAATTATGCTTAGAAATTATGGGAAGGGAAGGTGGGTCATTGATTTTGTACATGACATGCAGGGGGTTATTTATTTTGTACATAAAATTTAGGGGGGAGTGGGGGTGGGTGTTCATTCACATTATACATGCTTCTCCATAAAAATCTTCATCACACCCCCTAGTCATAAACTATGAACGGTCCCTTATATAAATAGCTTCGAGTTTCAATACAATGTGTATTATATATAACTAATCATTAATATCTCAAACACTGTGCTTACGTTAACTTCACAGAAGATATTTTAGTCTGACGTTCCTGGGGGCCGTCATATTTCTTTCAGCGTATTCATGTTAAACTACAATTCATGTTATCGTTCTTGTTTAAAGTAGTTCTGATGTTCAATATGAAATTCTTCCTGAGGGGCACGAGTCGCTATTCGGGTTGTCCCGGAATACCACGAGCGGGTCACGAATGTAGGTCTATATTAAAGCTGCAAATACAATTTCAGCTTAGTGGCATGACTTCGGTATTGTTTGAATTTCTGGAGGTTTGATCAGTGTGCACACACTCTCAATCAGCGTTGGATTAACGCAAATATATCTATAATGTGCAAAGTATGTAACTAATACATCTAAACACGATCGTCTGTTTGCGGTATACGGAAAAGAGCGATGTTGTCTGAAGGCAAACATATGGTCAGTCATACTACTGTATTCTACACCGGCTTTAGATTACGTTCTAATGCGAGTGAAAATGTGACGTAAAGACACAAAATGACGTCACAACCCATATGACGTCATAGGTATGTTTGGAGTGATGGCGGACAAAAGAATCATGCAGCATACCGTAGCAGTGTACACGCTGTATATTTTGGTCTGTCGGTGGACGAGTGCTGCGGTTCACTACAGAGAGAACCCCGAGTACTTGCTGGAGCTGTGTGATACAAAACTGTCAAATGGTAAGCTCCTCCTTTCGAAATGTGTTAAGCCCATCCTTATTGCGAAAATATGTTTAATCCAAACTCAGTCAGTCAATCCTTGATGGCTTTTCGGCACTGAAGATATGCTAAGTATATCCACGGTATAAATACCACTGTATGTGTCACTGTCCGTACGATGCTCTGTATGTCGACGGTATATACCACTGTATCTCGACGGTATGTACCACTGTATATCGACGGTATGTACCACTGTATGTGCACGGTATGTACCACGGTATGTGCCACTGTTTGTCCACGGTATGTACCACTGTATGTGCACGGTATGCAACACGGTATGTCGACGGTATCTACCGATGTATGTACCACTGTCTGTACCAATGTATGTGCCACTGTATGTCCACGGTATGTACCACTGTATGTCGACGGTATGTAACACTGTATGTACCATCCGCTCTGTGTGTTCCAGATGTTAAAGATGAAGGGTGTCGAGAGGCCAAGAACGCGACTTTGGTGAAAAGACACACGTTCATGTCTTCCATATGGTGTGCAAAACAGTGTTGGAAAGACAAATTCAAGTATTCTCTTGTCAAAGTAAGTTCAGTTGAATATAAATATAATCATTAATGAATGATATTGATACGCGATGGTACAACCCTTCGATCTGTGAAAGAGGCTCCTGATGATGGGGTGGTCAGTGAATGTAGGCGTGGATGATTGTTGGATGACAGTTACTGGTTTGGCGGTTAAACGCACAAACATACGAACGCGCGCACTCAAACACATAATGTAAACACATTCACACTAACAATTATTATACACACGCACACACAAATACATACACACTCGGCTCTCGAGATCGGTAACTGACAACGCCACCGGGTACACATAAACGTGAACAGGTGAGCTCAACATTATCAAAACAGTTACTTATGGGTTAACAGTGATGTTTGGTCTGGTGTAACTTGTTTCAGCGAGGGGACCACTGTCTCTGTTCTCAAGTCCTGGGGAACCAGGTAGACAGCCAAAAGTGTAACATCCCCTGTCCGTCAGCAAAGGCCCAGAACTGTGGTGGCTATCACGTGGTGTATGTCCTCTGTACAGGTGGGTTGTAGGGCTATCACGTGGTGTATGTCCTCTGTACAGGTATGTTGTTCGGTTATCACGCACTGGATGTTCTCTGTACAGGTGGGTTGTAGGGCTATCACGTGGTGTATGTCCTCTGTACAGGTGGGTTGTAGGGCTATCACGTGGTGTATGTCCTCTGTACAGGTATGTTGTTCGGTTATCACGCACTGGATGTTCTCTGTACAGGTGGGTTGTAGGGCTATCACGTGGTGTATGTCCTCTGTTCAGGTAGGTTGTAGGGCTATCACGTGGTGTATGTCCTCTGTTCAGGTAGGTTGTAGGGCTATCACGTGGTGTATGTCCTCTGTTCAGGTAGGTTGTAGGGCTATCACGTGGTGTATGTCCTCTGTTCAGGTAGGTTGTAGGGCTATCACGTGGTGTATGTCCTCTGTTCAGGTAGGTTGTAGGGCTATCACGTGGTGTATGTCCTCTGTTCAGGTGGGTTGTAGGGATATCACGTGGTGTATGTCCTCTGTACAGGTGGGTTGTAGGGATATCACGTGGTGTATATTCCCTATAGGGATGGGTTGTAGGGCTACCAATGGATAGATAATATGCATCTGCATGCATTATATAGCAGCATATGTTGGGTTTCAGCACATTGCTATGCTTATTTCAGGATTTGTACCATTTAACTGGCGACGTCTTCAGAAGATGTACAACGACGCTATGAAGTTCAAACAGAAACGGGCACACCAGAGGACGAAGACTATGGCCAAATGTAAGTGTTGCAGACATCAGCGTCAATGAATATCCTAGCTCACGTGAATATTATGTGAAGTAATATTATAGCATAGCTCGGTTTTTAAGGCTTTTCCAAAGCAATGGATAGGAGTTTGAGTCTTTACGAGGACATCCAGTACCTCATTAAAATTAATTAAGTAGACGATACCAAGCATCACAATGAAAGTAAAGTCAAAGAAAGTACACGATATCTTGCACCACTATATAACTAAACTTAATGAAATCTATTCTTCTGTTCTGAGACTCACTCGAGGACCAGGAAGCCATGATCCACATGCGTATAATACTTAAAACCCGTGACTTGAAACGATAAGTTATGCTAATGTTCCTAACTTCTTAACCCTCTTTGCTGAGAAGGACTGGTCCCGATTTCTCGAAACAAACTTCAGTCTGAGTTTTGACTTAATTCAGAGTTTGTACTCAAATTTGAGAAAACGCATTTCCCACAATGAACTGAAATCGATATTAAACTCAAACATAGTTGACAATTTGAGTTTGGTGTATAGAATACTTAAGTTTTGGGGCTTTTTTATTTTAAAAATGCAGCCGAGTTAAAGATTCAGCTGTTTCAAATGGTCAAACTCAGTTTGAAATTTGAGCAAAATCATAAGTTTGTTTCGAGAAATCGGGCCGGAGTGCTGGGATATTGCAAGATATACAGCTACAACGGTCTGATGTAATTGTTGTACTGGGTTAATCATTTCTTCCACAAATTATAGCTAAAAACGAAAATGAAATTGAGTGAATCCACGCTGAAATATTGGCATTCGCGTATCAGATAAACATTTCATGGCACCAAACGGCCACTTAATGGAACTCAACAGAGTTTGGTGTTCGACGGGCCAACATGGGCTTGACCACGTCATCACTGACGATTTCCGTTCGCCGTGAGTGACATGTCCATTTGTCTCGTGTTAGTCATTTATGTAAGCTCTTCTCCACAGACGACAACGGTAAATGCATCAAGTGGACGCCGAAGAATGCCTTGACAATCGACTCACAAATAATGACCGTCGAGATGTGCGTCGTCCACTGCTTCCACTACAAATACGTCTACGCCATGCTCACGGTGAGATAAATTCGTTACACTGCAGGTATTTCTACACCAAGCTAACAGCGAAAAACAAAATCTTTAACTCCATACACTGAGGATGTCTCTACGTAATGATCTTGGCAATACACAAACTCATCGCACTGCATATTTCTACTCCATGTTCTCTCAGTGTGACACTAACTCACTTTAATACCGTTCCCTCTGAAAATTACAAAGATTATCCTTGCACATTCTGTCTTTCAGTATCTCGCTTATCTATTTTACCCCACCTTCCCCTGTGTCACTCCCCAGCTCAGCACGTACTGCAAGTGTACATCTGACTCACCGGAAGTCCAGTCTTCAGGAAGAACCATGGAGCAGATTCTGGAGCGAGGCGAGAAGACGTCTTGTACCCGGCCATGCGGAGGCAACCGGAAACAGATCTGTGGCGGCGCCATGGACGTTAACAGCGTCCACCTCACGGGTATACGACTGAATCATTCGTTTGTTGCTCCGTTCACATTCCTCGAAGCCGCGATCTTTTGCCTGCTTTACAGAACATCACATGACTGTTTTCCTTACAGGTCACTACGGCTCCAAGGACCACGTCAGCAGCAAGGGAGGTCAAGAAGCTGCCAGCTCTTGAAAGCCACTGGAAGAGTAGGAAACATTGTCGTATACATGAGTTTTGGGACCAATAAGGACTTTACCCATAAGTAATATATGAAATATAAATCGCACCAAGCCCGGGGACCTTCTTGCTGTTATAACCTGATCCAACACGCCTATCACACCCCCGACATACTCTAGCTGTCATGCCTCAAACAAACCCTACCTTAGATAACCCAACTCTAGCAACCCATCCTTCCCATCATATCCCAACCCATCCTAGCTTGGATGCCCAAATACTTCGCCGAGCATACCACAACTCCCCCTAGACGCCATACCCTAACTCCCTCCAGCTGGCAACTCATTCCAGCAGTCAAACCCCAACTCATCTTACTGGAATACTCCAACCCACCCTAGACGTCATACCCCAAGCTCCGCACAGTGTGTGGGTGTATTGTGGGTTGGTTCTTTCTACTAAGTGAGTACCCGTGTACAGGACAAGCTCCTTGCAGTGTGTTCAATGTGTGTCTTTACGTCCCCAGATTACTTTCTGAAGAATAAAGACGTGTTGCTGGGCGCTGCCAAGGGGAATGGGATCGTGTTGAGAGCGGCCGCAAGTAGGTGATGACATGTAAGGAATACAACACGCTTTGATCGACGTCACTCACACTCCACTAAGATCGCACGCCTTAATCTTATTCGCCTTATTCGCCTTAATCTTATCAACTAACACACTCTGATCAACGTCACTCAGGCGCCTCTCAGACCACACGCTCTGATCGACGTGAAACTCAGAGACACAGCTCACACGGCCTGATCTACGTGACTCGCACGCCTTTAAGATCACAGGCGTTGATCGGCACGAAACACACACAGACACACAACTCACACACTCTGATCGGCGTGACTCACATACCACTTAACTCGCATGGGTTGGTCTGCATGACTCACACACAACACAGCTCACACGATCTGATCTACGTGACTCACACGCCTCTAAGATCACAGGCGTTGATCGGCGTGATTCACAACTCACACGCATGGATGGTTTACGTTATATCTGTCATTGGATTGTCTGCCCCATAGTCAGTCATCCACAGGACACTGTTACAGAGCTGGAATATCTTTGAGTGCGTCGTTAAACAATGAACAAACATTTGTATTTATTAGTTGTATTTATGAGTTTGTTGTAATGGTGAAGGGTCATAAAGTTCGTGACAATAACTTTTTTAATCAATAACGACGATTTTGACGTAATCAATATTCATTCGTCAAAGATGTTTTTAAATTGACCAGGATCGATATCAATATTCTTTCATGACATAGATTTCATGTCACCTGCGCATATGTCATGTCTCCAGGTACAACCCCCGGTACTGATGTGGACATACTGGACAAAGGTGAGACTGTCGCTGACAGAGACTATCCGAAAGGGAGCCTATTGTGGCCTGAACAGAATGTTACTTCCCACTGAATGTGTATTTGTGTGCAATATATTTTATTTTACCTACATTATGCTGCCAACTGGAAACATGTTCTAGACTTTGTCCAGCTGCATCATGCTTTGAACCAATCAGATCCTATTGAAAGCATGGCGTATATTGCCTACACGTTCGTTAAAGGTCACATGCAACGTAAAACACAACTTTGCAGATTCTGATACCTTTCGGTATGGACGTACCGAAACAAATCATCAAAAATGCAAGTTCAACTTATAAAGTTGAAAAATAACGCGATGAAAAAACCCGCGCGAAATTGGAATTCAAACGATTCACTAATTTTCCCCCAGCGCTTGGGGGAAAAAATGGTTTCAACAGCTGGGCTGCGCTAAAAGCACATGTGCATTAAAATATGGTTCGCGCAGCTTGGAAGCGGGCTGTCCGGTGAATACTCGGTGAAGGCTTTGGTGTGAGCTATTTTTCTAATGCTTTGTTGATATTTCACAGGCGCGAGCTTTTTATATGTTATGACAGTAGATTACCGATTTAACTGTTTATATACTTTCATTTGTCTATTTCACCACACGTTCTTCTTACCGAGTCACATTCTCAGTTCGATACTTAAAAGCAATGTCATTATTTAGCGTTGACAGAATTTCTAACTGTGATATAGATATGTCGTTGTCACAGACAAAACTCAATGTCTGTTTTATTGACACCTATGTGTCTGCCTGCCTGTCTGCTAATGACAATATTCAATACACACCTTCGATCACTGACCACATGCAATTTGTTCGCTGCGGTTGTGTTGTGAACTCCGGACACATGTTGCTTGTGCTCAACTCGGTTTACACTCGGCTGTGATAGTCAGCAGAGGATAATCTGAGGATAACGTATTGCAGGGTCCGGCCATGGAAACATCACCGCCAAAGTCGTAGCCGTCGTCGCATGTGTGGGGCTGATTGGGGTCGTCGTCGCCCTTATTGTCGTCATCAAAAGGTAATACCAGGAGATAGACACACTTGTTTGATGCATTGCATGTTGTAGACAGATGGGGGATGATCTAAACAGGGTATTACAACGGAGGTATACTCATATGGTTAGTGTACACTACATTTCAGAAATACTCTACGTAAAGCTATCGGTTTCATGCATTAGTCTGTATGTACAGATTGTCGCAATAATGATCGCGGTCACGTGACGACGCTTCGTTGACTTTTTTCGCTATCTATCGCAGCATGTGATATAGATTTCTCTAAAACAACCCAGTGTCAGTAAGTGATTTGATCGCATTAGGCCTGGATTCAAGCGGGTACCTGCTCCACATTGAAACAATGAAATAATCTCCAGAACATTCAGTTTATTGCATCCCCTGAATGACCTTCGTAAGTCAACTCTAACTGCATGAATGCATGTTTACATGCAGGGGATTCCACGTTTCCACCTAATGGTGCTGTATTTTCATGTTTCGTGTTTCAGGCGCAAGAAGGAAACTCCCGTAAGTATTATCATCACGATGGGGTACGATACATACTTGTCAGACTATAAGACAATAAGATCTAGGAAAGTATCTCGACCACCTAGCCAAAACAGAGTGAGATATAGGTCCAGACTGTTGGTCAACTAGGCGATAAGATATAGGTCTGGACTGTCAGGCCACTAGACTGTGAGATATAGGTCTAGACTGCCAGGATAATAGACTGTGAGATGTAGGCACAAACACATTTTCTCTATACGTACCTCCACAGGGATAACATTTCCGCCCGAACCTATGCACAAAAGAACTCAGATCCTGCTGACGTGTGTTGTACTAATGAGTACACAATCTGTTAACAGGGACAACAATCGCATCGTGGCAAGACGAAATCGAAGAGGGATAAAAAGTCAAGGAGGTCAGGCAAAAGGAAGAAGCGCAGTCGGGATATGTCAAAGGACGGTTCCAAAGAGAAGAAAAATAGAAAAAATAAAAAATGAATAAATCTTGTCAATTTGTAAAACTTGGAGTTTTGAATTAATGTTTTCTTTTTAACTTGGTGTTTCCATGAGTCAATGTACCGAGGGGGACACGGGGTGGGGACCCAGTTGACGAAGGTACCGCTATTAGCTTCGGAAAATTGCATTCCTTGGAAATCTATGATCGTGGTTCGGAAACCCGTTTATCCCCCTTGTTTCCTGGTCCGTCAGCGCCATACAAGTGCTCGTGGCTTTCACCACGTGGTGAACGTTTCAAATGGCACGCTGTAAAATAACTGGAATGGAAACAAACCCTCAATGAACTGTACCCTTTAAAAAGAAATAAAGTGGGGAAAATGAAATTCACTCACTCAGATTGCAAGGCTGCAGCATTTAACCGTCCCTTCACCCGTTTTAGGCTGAGTTCTAAATACTGTGAAAAGCAACAGAAGGGCAAAATAGATACGAAAACCTGTCGCCGACAGTGAGTGAGTGAGTGAGTGAGTGAGTGGATTATCGCTGCCTTGAAAAGTATTCCAGTTATATCACGACTGCGGTCGACAGTGGAGTAAGACTGCATGGCATGCCTTGCTGGGACATGTGGATAGTCAGCATGAGTGATTGATGTGGGAGGCAACAGCACAACGCAAATGACTTGTAAATATACGCATCAGGCACGACAAACCAGTGGTTGATATAATCAACGCATAGCGCTGATTCCAGTAGTCGCATCACACATTCTTCTGTGACATTGAAGGATGATGATGTAATATACTACTCACACTTTGCTATAGATCACATAAATTCACAACTTTACTTAATATCCATTTAAAACTGGATAAATGATAATATGGTAACCCCTCTTAGTCACTTTAATCTAACCCTATGCACTTGATACATGAATAACCATAAAAACGGTTTTCATGGCACCAATAAACCATTTTGCAAATCCTTGAACGAGTCATTGACAAGTACACAGCTGCCAATAGGGATCCACAAAATGAAATGGCAAACTGAAACCTGGAATCCATGCTTACAATAAGCTCAGATATTTAAACCAAATTTGACCCCACATCATAGTTTTCTGTTGAATCCATGATTTGACCCTTAGCAAAGTGTGAATAGTATATTATCAATTAATCTTTACTAAATTTGGAGTGGGTCATGAACAATGACCACTTCTGATTTTAAGGCCGTTTCACATCGTGTACGTGTAATCAGCACACGCCGACCCCGGTACTTGCAAACAAACTTCTCTGATCTACTATAAGACTATTGATGACATCATATTTGAAGGTGTTCTTGACACGGTGTCCTCCCATTTGCGAGAACTCCCAGTTGCGAGACACATTAATTAATGGTTCAGTGCACACAGGTGGTGCTTCCCAATCCCTACGATGAAAGTGGGAACAGCCCTGTTGCTGAAGAGTACCCGCAGGAGGCATAGTTCATTAATGAGACACAGAAGACATTGTTCATTGAAGAGCATTTATTGATTTCAATAAAGAACAAGTTAAATACTGAAATACTGAAAAAGATTATCATTATATTTACACAGAAGAAATAGTTCATTAAATACTTCATTATCATTTTTTATTCACACATTTTGATGATTTGCGTTATTATGATGTTTGTGTGTCATTATAAAACACTTTTTTACATGGGTCCATATTTGGAAATTTTGACACTTTTCATATTTTCAGCAGTTTGCCGACTGCATCAAGAAACTGCATGTGATTTTTCGTTCCATCTGCAAGTTGATCTTTGAGTCTATGTAGTCGATTGTCTATTGACATCGGCTCTGGTCTGAGGAAGCTTAGGGGTGGTGTGGCTTCTATGTCGATAGAGAGCACTCTCAACAGAAGGGAAGCAGGGAAGAGTTCCAACAGCCGCTGCATCAAGTTGTGTCACCTCGTCGTTGTAGATGCTGGGCATAGTTGATGTTGGTTCATCCCGTGCTCGCTTTCTCAGGCTGCTCACAAAACGGAGGCGTTGGACATCTACTGGAGGATGGTCATGATAAGTCACATTCCAAATATAGTCGCCGACTGTAGTGCATTTGCCGTTGCACGTTCGTATTGTACATCTCCAATAGGTACAAGTCTGCCGCTGCTTGTTCTTGTAATACAGGTAACCCTGAAAGAGCACCTGAATACTGCCTCGTGAACTGGTGATGTATTCTACTTGTTGAAGGCCTGCCATAATGGTGATCGGAAAGAGCAGTCACAGGTTAATAAATACATTTGGATTCATTATAGTTACAACAGTTATTGCTAGATTTTTCAAGCACGTAAATCTGAGTAGGTCAATTAATTTCTCTTTCAAATGTTAATTACTTTATCTTTTAAGCTACATCCACAAGATTCAGTTAAATAGCTAATCCCTAATTAGCTGGGGTTAATCCATTCTATCAGATAGGGGAGTAAGGTGTGTTTTCTTTGCTCCTTACCTTCTCCACAGTCTCACAACTGGGAGTCTCGCAACTGGGAGTTCTCGCAAATGGGAGTAGACCCTTGACACCTGCCACAATGAAGACCCTGGGCCTAGATTTTCGAAGCTCTCTTAGCGCTAAGATAGTCGTAAGTTAATGTTAATGAATGGCACTTACGACTATCTTAGCGCTAAGAGAGCTTCGAAAATCTAGACCCTGGTCCCGATCCACAGAGTGTAGGTAGCATTACGAGCTATCGTAACTATATACTAGAAGTTTATCATAAGCACGCATATCTACTAACCATCAACAGTTTAGACTCAATTAAAGCACTCACTATGTATGTATCTATGGTTACAACGAAGATGAATTTCTCCACTAACTTGGGGAAAACAACTGCAAACCTTATGCAGATTAACTGCACGAGGATCATACATCAAACTGATGAATAGTCGATGCAAATATCGTGCATGTGAACAGCTGCGTTTTGGTGTACAGTTTTGATAAGAATTCACCCTTTTTAACCGAGTTTCATCATTTATTGAACGCATGACAATAATCTTTTCAACGTTATTTGTTTTACAATACATCAGTTCATGTATAAACAGTACCTTTAAAACAGTATGAATATTTTGCAAAATTTAGTTTAGAACAGTTGCCTGAAGTAAGTGGCTACATGTACACTAGTTGATGGGGAGTATATATATATTAGTTAACGCCGATGTTGAATTCAGGGCGATCCAACTCATGGACGTCTTTCAACGCAGTTTCTAAGATCGATTTCTATAATTATCAAAAATACCTTACCCAAAGGGTTTCGCTTTTCACGCGAGGAGCCATTCATTCATTGTGAATGCTGGATAGATATTCAAATCGGAAACGTTTTTCACGTTCATTGATTTTTATTTAAGTTTATTTATTTATTAATTATTTTTTTGTTTTTTGGGGGGTGTCAAAGAAAGTTAATAACTCTCTTAATTTTAATATATGAGAAGACCCCTTGCCATTGTATACTCATGTCAATAATGGTTGTCACCCCCCCCACCCCAACCCACACCCCCTCTCCGATTAAAAAAAATTGAAGGGGTGACAACCATTATTGGCATGAGTATATGTGTACTCCCATTCAATTTTGATCTTTGTAGTATTCTCTTGAAATAATTTTATGTGTAAATTTAGTTTCTTTAGAAACAGTGGTGACTTGAACAATATTTCCCGTTTGTTGCTTTCATACCGAATTCTCTTGCGGGTAGATTTCTGGCTAAATGTACACTTGCCCTTACAAAATTCACTGCATCAGAATCATTTGATATGCAAGACGACTGGGCCCTGCTTAGGTTTACGCCAAGAAACATCATTGACGTCATCATCCCAGTGACGTCATCGACTTTCCATGACGTCAGATAATATGCGCTAGGAAAATGGACGACAAACGGTTCGGATATTGTTGTAAAAACATTTTTGTCTGTGTGTTTGTTGCAGTGTTGATACTGCCGCAGACAACAGTGTTTGGGACAGAAGCAAATGTGCAACTTTTGTTGACATTATCAGAAAGAAGAAAATCTAATGGTGAGATATTTTCGTACTTTCACTCGTGTTTGAATCTTTCATTACGAACATCAATCAATGTCTATATCGATTATTGTATGTAAGATTAGAGTATCACGAAAGTGATACTCAAATCTCAAAGAAAGAATCAAGACATGCCGCAGACCGGCCTCCCTTTTTTGAAACGTCACGATTCTGATGCAGTCGATATTTTAAACTTTGAAAAGAAGTACCTCCTTCCATTTGATGAGTCTAGTACACTATAATGTTGAAATCATTAGCGGTATCCGGATATACCTACAGAATACCGGATACCTATCTGCCATATTGTTTAGTGTCACGTCACCCTAACCCTAACTCTAAACCTTACCCTAACCCTAAACCTAAGCCTAACCGGTTAACCCTAACTCTAACCCTTACCCCAACCCTAAACCTTACCCTAACCCGTAAGTAAACCCGCGTGCTTTTAAAGATTGCGGAAGGCATCCGGTATCCTGTAGTCCAACATGAAGAAAGAATCACCGATATATCCAGCCATTTTAAGTCAAGTGTAAAGTGTCTAATATCTACGGCATTTAAACACTACAGAATACCGGATATTGTTAGGGTAAGGGTAAGTTTAGGGTTGGGGTAAGGTTTAGGGTTAGGGTAAGGTTTAGAGTTAGCGATAGGGTTAGGGTGACGTGACACTAAACAATATGGCTGGTAGGTATCCGGTATTCTGTAGGTGTACCAATCCGATATTTCCCGGACGCATTAAAACATGGCCAAATGACCTTTCTCTCTAATGTACAAGAGATTCCAGACTGTGCGGAAATCTCGTCTTTTGATGGAAGGCAGTTCAAAAACAGCTGTATCTGTCTGACATCCTGTTCCGCTATCAACCACTTCCGGTTGCACCCTTAGAACGAAAAGTTTACATTAGCATCACTCTTTTTTCATCATTGTTCTTTATAAGTACAAAGCTTAGAGAGAAATCCCAGTACTTTATCGCGTTAAAAGATTATACTTGCAACAACCAATTAGCGAAAAGTAGATGACATTGCAAAATGTTTGGTTAGATTTGGTTGTTTAGCCGCACTCAGAGTATCCCAGCTATATGACGGCGGTCTGTAAATAATCGATAGTCTGGACCAGACAGTCCAGTGATTGACATCATTGATCTAAACATGAAATTCACCAAGTGAGCGTGGCTGACCAACCGATCCAGATAGTCGCTTCTTTTAACAAGTATGGGTTGCTTGAAGACAAATTCTAAACTGAATCGTCACATGTGTTTGGTTAGATGTATGAGTTGTATGTAAACGCACATGGTTGCAAACCAAGCGTCACTATACAATACATGCCGTATAGACAGTGTATACATACGATACTTCTAAATGAATTAATCATATGGATTAAACGTTTATTGTTTAAAGAATTACCTTGTTTGCGATTATTACCCCAATGGGTTTTATCAGCATGTGTTTCCAAATAGCATATCGGAAGAATACATAAGAATTATGCCGTAATGCTATTGATATTACGATACGAAAGTACAACCGGCTGATCTCCAGCTGACCGTTCTAAAGCTGGACACAGCAACCCTGCACTGTCAGCTGACACTTGCAACCTCCACATTGATGAGGGGGAGTGGGGTAGGTTTACTCCCATAACGCAGAACTCCCAAAGCGGCGTAAAACATTCACTCACTCACTTTAGTGACAGTAACTGAAAAGAAGGGGTGAAACAGATGAATAACAAATGCGTTTGTTCTCCATCATTTAATTTGCTGTAGCTTTGCTTAATTTATCTATTGATAATACTTAATACGAGTATATAGACAGTCAAGGATGTATATTATGTGCGTTGGATCTGTAGATGCAGTTCTGTTCCCTGTAGATGCAGTCGCTCTACGGCTGATGCCGATGAAACGTTAAAGTTTAACTCACTCACTCGTTGTGGATGCAACACATATGGGAATAGATGTTGAGAGTCTAGTGTAGATGAAGCCTTTCTTTCAGAGGTGCAGGATCTCGGATGCCGTAGTGCAGAGGGGTCGACGATGACGAGGGACGGAAAGATGACGGCGATGCGGTGTATCGTCAATTGCTGGGGAAGCAAGTACGCGTATGCTGTTCTCCAGGTGCGTGATGCTCAAATCCGAGTGGGACGAGTGAGTGAGTGAGTGGGTTAGGTGAACACATCACGGCGTTTCAGCAGATAAGGCCTTATGTGATGCAGGAGGAGCACATTTACCTCTTTGGTAATACACGACCACGAGTCAAAATCTTAAATGTGAATGCGACTTAGCTGTTTGCTGATCCTGTTTCGTCCAAGGGAGTCAACTCCTGCGTAGAAAGCTATTTGTTCACCCGTCAACCTCATAACAGCGAAAATTGGACTAGAGCATACAAATGTGCTCTTCATTTTTTTTCCGTTCAGGTTTATATTTAAGTTGATGTCTTGTTTCTTCAGAGCGGCAATCGCTGTGTGTGCTCTCACACCCGGAACAAGCCTAGGGACAAGAAGGAATGTAACATCGCCTGCGTGGGGGACAAGAAACAAAACTGCGGGGGCGGTAAAGCGGCGTCTGTGTTCTTCACAGGTAATAGAAACAGAAAAGAGTAGAGGAAAGTCGAGTGTTATATAATATCCTGCAATTATCTACGTTCCTATGCAACTGTTTATGCTTCTGAGCAACGTAATTCGATTTCGCTCGAAAATAACGACATCTTAACTTCCGGTGTTAGCGAGAATCTAACCGAGGCAAGGGGAACACCTAGAAACATTAAACTCCCTTGTATCGGGAAGATGAATAAATATTCCACAACAAAGCATTGCTTTTAGAGTCCTTATACAGTCAACATTTCCCTGTAACGATCAAATGTCAAGTTGCCCCCAAAATACCTTTCTCTATGATATTACACAACACAGTCAGGTTGATTTTATTTGCTTTGTTTGTAAACAAACACCAAAGAAGTATATAGTCCGGTAAGGGCAAATCCATAGCACAGAGCGGGGAGAAAAAGCACGAACTTTAATAGCTAGCACAGTGGTACAAGTGTCTCACTCACACACCATACACATATCATTCACCACACACATACGCACACACGCACGAGCTCGCTGATGTGCCCTGATGATGTCTTGCAGGTTATGTGAAGCTGGACAAGAAGTCGCTCCACCAGCTGTACGCAGCTACCCGTTTGGCCTACAAGCGTAACAAGTCGAAAATGACTGCCGAAATGGCGGCATGTAAGTAGAAGACAATGACACCTCATACCCGTTAATGTAAGACATGAATGGTGCGTTTGGGTAATACTCGAGCTAGCCGCATGTACCCACCGTGTCTGTTTCAGATGATAACCTCGGCCCTTGTGTGAAGATATCACCAGGGAAATTTCTATCCTTCACCACCCACCTCATGTCTAAGGAGTTGTGTGTCGTCCACTGTTTCCACTACAAGTTCACCTACGCCTTGCTTTCGGTGAGGAGATTTAGTTTGGGGTGGATGTGTGCACTCCTTTGTGAAAATCAGCTCACGATAGCCCCGTCCGGTGCCTGTCTGTTAGACAGCAGGTCAGTTTTGAGCAGTTTCTATGATTTTCAAAGTAAACAAAATGGCCAGTCAGCTGTCATGTTGATATGATAATGACTTCATTAAGCTCGGTAGTGGGTGGAGAACTGCTGACCACACCGACTGTCCATCTGACACTCATGTTACAATACACGATCTGTCTGGGGTGCAGCTGCGATGGACACTGTGTTAAATACTCCCCCTTTCTCTCATTTCTTTGAAGCCATAGTCTTATGATAGTGACTTCATGAACGCTTCGAGCAGCTGGTGATTTCAATCAACAATGAATTTGAAATTAAGCAGTTATTCCAGCCAAAGGTAGTGTCTTGTAACATGTGTAGCCAGTGGTGGATATATAGAGGATTCTAAAACGACCTTCCGTGTAATACCATTTCTATTAAACGAGTTAATGATTTGGTATCAAACGAGCGAAAGCGAGTTTGATGCTAAATCTTTCTCGAGTTTAATAAAAATGGTATTTCACGGAAGCGAGTTTAGTATTATGTTTATTAATCTCCAACATAAACTGATAAAAAACTGCCTACGAAGTGTATTGACTTTCAGCTTTCCACGAGTCAAGCAAGGTCTAATACCATTGTGACAGAGGTATTAGCATTGTGACGTCATAACTGCACACCATTATGACGTCATACGTCTAGCGGCATTACATTAGTGTAATATCGCCGTAAAAATATTACACTGCAGTATCTTCCACGGGCGAGAAATAATATGAGTAACGCCCCAGGCACTCTACGCCCCAAGTGAGGGTCAGAAATGGACGGCAGCCACCTTATAGTCTATTATGTTCCACAAGCAGCTGTTGGCTTGGCCAGGTTGACTCTGCTGCAGTATATGTATCAGGGGACCCGTTGTCTTAAAACCATGTAGTCGGCCAATGTGAGTTCTATGTGTTTTATACCTTTTCCTGACGGGGCGATGGGGTAGCCTAGTGGTTAAAGCGTTGCCTCTTCACGCCGAAGACCCAGGTTCGATACCCCCACTTGAGTACAATATGTGAAGCCCATTTCTGGTCTCTGCCGTAATATTGCTGGATTATTGCTAAACGCTGCGTAAAACCATACTCACTCACTTACTCCAGACATATGTCAGGTTGTTCACTAACCTGGGCCTAGATTTTCGAAGCTCTCTTAGCGCTGAGATAGTCGTAAGTGCCATACATTAACATTTATATTAGCTTACGACTATCTTAGCGCTAAGAGAGCTTCGAAAATCTAGGCACAGGGCCCTTATTCTCGAAACGTCCGTAGCCCTAAGAATTCTTAACTTTGATCGTAGCCAATGTGTTAAGAATGTGCTTACGAAGTTCGAACGTTTCGAGAATAGCTGTCCAGGGTCCCGTTCCTCAAAGCGATCGTAGCGCTACGACAGTCGTAACTCCCATACTTTAACATAGACTTACGACTGTCGTAGCGCTACGATCGCTTTGAGAAACGGGGCCCAGGCTTGCCTTCCACAAAGCGATCGTAGCGCTACGACTGTCGTAAGTCTTTCAAGATTACTCACTTTCAAGAAGCTCTTAGGATGTTATCTCCTTAACAGATATTCCCAGGGTGTTATCCACTAATTCCATGTTCTCAGATTTGTGTCCACTGGGACCTGTCCACCAACTAGGTATTCTTCTGTGTCAGACTGGCGAGAAGTGCACGTGTCTGCCGCAGCTGCCCAAGGATGCCAAGACGTACACGGTCCTGCGGAAAGACTGTAACATGCTGTGCCCAGGGAACATGGGTCAGAGGTGTGGGGGCAGGGACGGGACCACCTACAACGTGTGGCTGACAGGTGACGCCTCTAACGTGTTTCACTCGTCAGAATTTGGAGTTTAAAGAATATACAGTTCTTGTTTGTCTATCAGATGCACCAAAGTGAACTCAGCCATGTTATTACCGGTCCTTACCGCGAATATAACAAACTGATGCCTCAAGTAATTAAGTGTTGCCTTTCCGTCAAAACGACATTTCATTACACTCGTACAAATCACTTTAAAGCACATGACGCCCATCCAAGCAGCAGTAATGAAAGACACTTTGTCCATGCACTATTGAGCAGAAGAAAGATGATTGCGATTGTGGATTCCGCCGATATACACGCATGTATCTGGTGACATGTGTCTACAGCCGTAGGGTAATGTACGTTATCGTATATTGTGAATTAGGTGCGTCCGTGGTCGCTGATATTTGAAACTGGTTTTTGGACTTCCATGTTGTAGCCACTGAATAAGGCGATGTTTGTGACACGTGTAAGTGTGGGTTGCAGGCCACTACAACCAGAAGGACCATCTCAGTCAGAAAGATTACCGTCCAGTCAACGCCCTCGTTCAAGGATGGAGAAGTTAGTTGTGTTGCGTTTTGGCTGTTGAGACGATGTACCTGTCTCATGTGACTGACACGTGATAGTTGTATCTGTGTAACTGACTGAAGTGATTGTTCTTCCCGTGCAACTGACAGAACTGATTGTTGTTCCCGTGTAACTGAAGTGATTGTTGTTCCCGTGTAACTGAAGTGACTGTTGTTCCCGTGTAACTGAAAGTAGTAATTGTTGTTCCCATGTAACTGAAGTGACTGTTGTTCCCGTGTAACTGAAGTGATTGTTGTTCCCGTGTAACTGAAGTGATTGTTGTTCCTATGTAACTGAAGTGACTGTTGTTCCCGTGTAACTGAAGTGACTGTTGTTCCCGTGTAACTGAAGTGATTGTTGTTCCCGTGTAACTGAAGTGACTGTTGTTCCTGTGTAACTGAAGTGACTGTTGTTCCCGTGTAACTGAAGTGATTGTTGTTCCCGTGTAACTGAAGTGACTGTTGTTCCCGTGTAACTGAAGTGACTGTTGTTCCCGTGTAACTGAAGTGACTGTTGTTCCCGTGTAACTGAAGTGACTGTTGTTCCCGTGTAAATGAAGTGACTGTTGTTCCCGTGTAACTGAAGTGACTGTTGTTCCCGTGTAACTGAAGTGATTGTTGTTCCCGTGTAACTGAAGTGACTGTTGTTCCCGTGTAACTGAAGTGACCGTTGTTGCTGAGTAACTGAAGTGACTGTTGTTCCCATGTAACTGAAGTGATTGTTGTTCCCGTGTAACTGAAGTGATTGTTGTTCCCGTGTAACTGAAGTGACTGTTGTTGCTGTGTAACTGAAGTGAACTGAAGTGACTGTTGTTCCCGTGTAACTGAAGTGATTGTTGTTCCCGTGTAACTGAAGTGACTGTTGTTGCTGTGTAACTGAAGTGACTGTTGTTCCCGTGTAACTGAAGTGATTGTTGTTCCCGTGTAACTGAAGTGATTGTTGTTCCCGTGTAACTGAAGTGATTGTTGTTCCCGTGTAACTGAAGTGACTGTTGTTCCCGTGTAACTGAAGTGACTGTTGTTCCCGTGTAACTGAAGTGATTGTTGTTCCCGTGTAACTGAAGTGACTGTTGTTGCCGTGTAACTGAAGTGATTGTTGTTCCCGTGTAACTGAAGTGACTGTTGTTCCCGTGTAACTGAAGTGATTGTTGTTCCCGTGTAACTGAAGTGACTGTTGTTGCTGTGTAACTGAAGTGACTGTTGTTCCCGTGTAACTGAAGTGATTGTTGTTCCCGTGTAACTGAAGTGATTGTTGTTCCCGTGTAACTGAAGTGACTGTTGTTCCCGTGTAACTGAAGTGACTGTTGTTCCCGTGTAACTGAAGTGACTGTTGTTCCCGTGTAAATGAAGTGACTGTTGTTCCCGTGTAACTGAAGTGACTGTTGTTCCCGTGTAACTGAAGTGATTGTTGTTCCCGTGTAACTGAAGTGACTGTTGTTCCCGTGTAACTGAAGTGACTGTTGTTCCCGTGTAACTGAAGTGACTGTTGTTCCCGTGTAACTGAAGTGACTGTTGTTGCTGTGTAACTGAAGTGACTGTTGTTCCCATGTAACTGAAGTGACTGTTGTTGCTGTGTAACTGAAGTGACTGTTGTTCCCATGTAACTGAAGTGACTGTTGTTCCATGTAACTGAAGTGATTGTTGTTCCCGTGTAACTGAAGTGATTGTTGTTCCCGTGTAACTAAAGTGACTGTTGTTGCTGTGTAACTGAAGTGACTGTTGTTCCCATGTAACTGAAGTGACTGTTGTTCCATGTAACTGAAGTGAATGTTGTTCCCGTGTAAGTGAAGTGACTGTTGTTCCCGTGTAACTGACAGGAGATATTGTTGTTCCCGTGTAACTGACAGAAGTAATTGTTGTTCTCGTGTAACGAACAGAAATGACTGTCGTTCCCGTGTAACTGACAGGATATATTGTTGTTCCCGTGTAACTGACAGGAGATATTGTTGTTCCCGTGTAACTGACAGAAGTGATTGTTGTTCCCGTGTAACGGGCAGAAATGATTGTCGTTCCCATGTAACTGACAGGAGTTATTGTTGTTCCCGTGTAACTGACAGAAATGACTGTCGTTCCCGTGTAACTGACAGGAGATATTGTTGTTCCTGTTGACTGACAGAAGTGATTGTTACTCCCGTGCAGCTGATTGAGTGATGTATCTACCAGGTTACCTGCGGAAACACCCTAATGTGGCAGATGAACTCACCAGACTTGGCGTCACCATACCTCGTGCACCCCCTACTGTCCCACATTCAGCGACAACTACTCCCCCTCAAATCACAACGTTGACTACTGGAGGTACGTCACGAAAGTCGAGCCAGACAGCTTGCTTGCCATTTAAACGTTAAGTAAATTTACGAGAATGTGTGTCTGTGAAAGAATAGCTCTCTACCATCCAAGTGTTGACAACAAGAAATGGACGCATCGTGTATATTACCGTGCATGTACATACTTGCAGGGAATGACACTGATGTCGATGTGGAGGACGACGTCTTGACTGATCGAGGTTGGTGCCTTATGCCGTCTGTTTGCCCAGATAAGGTAGAGTCAAGTCTATATAGAGTTTCGTTTGTTGCTCACAGAACTACAAAGGAACATTGGAGTAGGCGTATAATAAGCAATTTTGTTATATGATCGTTTGTCACGCCCCCCTGTCTGTTCCATTCCCCACATGGAAGTTAAGACAATTTGTGTCTCCTGAACCTGAACCTACGACTTGTAAGTTGTGAACGTCGTTGTTGCTTTCAGACAGCGGCGCTGCGTCGGGGGTGCTGGCAGGTGCAGTCATAGCAGGACTGGTAGCGGCGAGCGCAGGGTTGGGCCTCGTCTTGTATCTCAGGAGGTACGTCATCAGAGTATGCGGCGTAAGAAGTCGAGATGGCATAGTACATCTTGTCTATTTCTTTTCTTGTATGTGTATGTTTTGAAATGAATGAGTGAGTTTAGTTTTATGCCGCTTTAGCAGTATTCCAGCAATATCACGGCTGGGGACACCGGAAATGGGCTTCACACGTTTTGCCCATGTGGGGAATCGAACCCGGGTCTTCAGCGTGACGAGCGAACGTTTTAACCACTAGGCTGCCCCTCCGCCCCAAATGGATGAATGAAGATATCCACCCTATTATATATATTCAGGTATATATGTTGATTAAACTGCCAGCATTAGTATACGCCGTTAGGGTTTGGATTAGGATTGGGTTTAAAGGAGGGTACGGGTTGGGAGTCTTTCCTGACTGGCAAGTGATTCCCTATCTAGGAGGATTTACACGCACGTCAGTTAAAACGTTTATCCCAGCATCAATGGAAAAGATATTGAGTCAATTTGTAACTACATTTGAATAATTAATACATATGTTCCTTAATTTGTTTTTATTTCAGGTCAAAGTATTCCAATCCATATGGGGTAAGCATGCAACAGTAAAAATATCATCTTAGTGGAATGTAGCGCACAATAAGCGTTATTCCATATTTCGGCTTAGCATCTGAAGACGGCATATATTGAGGGCAACTGCATATCACATACACCATGGTGGATATAAATGCTAAAACAAGAATCCACTATATATATACTATGGCGAGAACGGATACCCATTACGTGGTGTTGGGATATCCCAGATGAAGTGAGATGAAATAGTCCGCTCCGAGGTGGCGTGTTAGATAGTGCGAGCCAAATGAGATGCCATGCAGTTTGCCCTGGACAACCACTCAGGTATAATATAGAGAGGTCCTGTCATTGTTGGACCCCTTAATGCCAAGCACCAGGGAGGGTACAAACAAGCATATTGTTTAACAGTGGACCGGGGAGGGTATCGAGGGCGTATGGTGTATATACCTCTGTTTGAAACAATTTATTTATTGTAAATCTTTTGGTTTTCGATAATAATTCCACCCAATCAGAGGCATTCGACCACGTGACGTCACGATAAACGCGATGTTGTAACGGTCCGATTATAATTTCATCCAATCGGAGCGAGATGAATAGCGTTTCTTATACCGAATGAAACAAGAGTCATCAGAAGGTGACAAATCAAAAGGACAAATTGAGACTCGGTCCAAAACGTTTCCATGGAAACCAAGAAAAATAAAAATGAAAAAATCGGTAAATAGCAAAAGGCACCACTTTAGGTTCTGTGAGATATATCTACCATGTTTTGTTGAAAATATTGAACGGTTTTTGAGTTATGTTCCGGAAACAAAATGATTACGGACGGACATACAGACAGACGAGGCGTCAACTATATTCCTCCGCATTACATGCCGGGAGGATAAAAATCGATACAACCACTAGCCGCGTTTGGTTTTCGATCATAATTCCACCAAAAGGAGAACAATGGAATAATTTCTCACTATAAAAGACTATACGCTCTCTCTCAATAACGGGGTGTAAATGGCTCACAAAAGTATTGAAAAATATATCAAGTTGTATTTGAGTGAAATCATTTTTTTGCCAAGGTAACATATTGGGCTGCTTAAAGCCAATGGGAATTCAACAAGAATTGAAAGCTTTTGAAAATATAACAAGCTAACAAGATAGGTACACTCTTAGAGAATCCTAACACTGAAATGTTCGTTATAACAAGGGATAACCAACTAAGCCGATAAAAACACTCACCTAGAAAGCATCCATGGCCCTTATCACCAAGCCTGGGAAGACATGTTTCCTTAACCTTGTAACCGTGTTCTTGCTGGGTAGACTAACTAATCCCCAACAAGTACAGTGCAGGATACATTTAGTAAACTGTGTGGAAGCAAACTTTAGGAACGCAGGATACACATGAAAGTGACAAATACTTTCAGATCCTCTGAAAGTTCAATCATAAAACAAATGTGTCGCCTATTTAAGAAGTAAACACGGTTTAATAGTTTTCCAACCACTAGATATAAACCACTATATAAGTAACGAACATTTCAGGCAACGTCATGTCTTCAGAAACACTGTCTTGTCCTCATATAGACTTAAACTTGACAGATTTCAAGATAGTGAAAACTGAAAACAATCATATAAAAAATTAATTTGCATGTTTCGGAGCTATTTTTGCAACCTAAAAATGGACATCTTCGTAAACCTTAATTGTATATAGACAGAAAAGTAAACTATCCTCAATTTTACTTATTATCATTCAATCCTTTGAGGGTATAAATTTCAAATAATGATACTGTAATTATTAAACATGAGACTAACAACGAAAATTCTGGAATAATAAGACTGTAGCTCAATTTTAATCCAATCGAAGCGACAAAAATATCTGTTACTAGGATGAAATATTCCTTGTGGTTGTTATTGATGTTAAGGTAATGTTTCTATTGTCAAGTTGTAAGTCTGTCTTATCAAATACAGAGTGACCTTACTTTGTAAACTCCGAAACGTGACTAGTAACTAAACAGTAAGTGATGGGTGTCATTCGTTTATTTGTTCCTTACATCGTTACTTCCTATTTCAGATGGCTCCCAGTTCTTGGTGATTGTATACATCCTCACTGACTTCCCAGATTGGATAGGAGTCACGTGATGTTTGAAAAATAGTATCAGAACGTCACAAGCTATGTAGTTTCGAATACCCTGGTAACGAATATTTCAGTAACGGATATCACATACTCTGGCAAATCAAGCAGTACGTTACCATTAACCACACACAAATGTTTTTTTTCTTTTCCCATCTGTTCACTTCATGTTCAAAATTAACTTAAACTATACTGGATAAAATAAGTTAGGGATATTGGTATTTTTATGATTGACATTTTATCAGTGTGACAATGAATAAATAGATTATTATTCATAATTTCAACATTTGCATACATCCCTAACTATTTTTGTCCAGTATATGTGAAAAACAACACAATTCCCTAATTTGGCTGTAGTAACGGACATTTCCCTCTTATGTCTACGCCTGGAATACTTTCTATGTATTGAGATGTGTTATGCAGAGAGATATTCTTAGCCCCAGACTATGACAAATACCATTAATGTAAAGATAAATTGTATTCATTCAAAATGAATGAGTAAGAGTATGCTTTGTTCTACACGTGTACGTATCAGGCTGAAAATTAATCATGAACATTTCCTCAAAACTTGCCACATGGCATTGCCAAATTTATTTATCTAAAAAGAATGCATTGGCTTAACAATTTGCAGAAAATGATACTTTAGACCAATATCAATTAAATCTGTATAATTTGTCAATAAGTTACTCTATCGCCTTGAGGGGACTTGCCCCGAGTCTCAATAACAGCATGAGGTCAGTGTTGGACCTGAAAATAGAATAAATAAAGAAATAAATTAAGAAATAGAAAGATTGAACTTAACTAAGTTAACCGGTCAATACTCGCGTCTATAAAATAAGTATGAAACTCACTTTGCCCTGGGATGGGGTCTCCTTCAGTCATGCCCCCTATATATGTATAATAAAAAAAACTGTTGCAAAGAGAGGTATAGACAAAAGACGTATACGGCCAGAAATCTATAAAATCTGTTATCTCTAAACGTTCAGTGATGTAGACACTGGTCTGCAGTATATATCCACACACGGCCACCAACATGCGGTATTCCTTGTTTCAGTCGAAGAAGGACCGCGAGGAACACAAGCTGCTGAAGAAACAGATAAGTGAGAAGACTCCGATCCGGTCAAGGAGGACAGGCGGCTTCACCGGCGATAAAACAGATAACGCGCTCGCTGGCGATGGAGATGATGAAGATGATTTTGCAAATGAAAGATGATGACCAATCTAATGTGACCTGAAGAACCGGTACCCCGTGCCATAGTACTGTGTCGTGAGTGAGTGAGTTTGGTTTAATGCCGCTTAGCAATATTCCATCAATATCGCGGCGGGGGACACCAGAGATGGGCTTCACACATCTTTGATTCCTTTGTAATAGCACGGTGTAGTTAAGCGACGAGTAGAAGGGACGTCCCAATGTAATTTGTGATGTGTATATTAGAAATGTCCCCATTTAATCACGGCAACCAGAAAATATCTCAAACTCACGTAAGCACTTGGCAAGTAAATATGTTATTAACGATCTGGGTGTCGTTGTACAGAACGACCTTAGCGCTAAGTCTTTGGTAAAGCTACGTTGAAGTATGGGACTTACGATCACCTTAGAGCTAAGGTTGTTTTGTACAACGGCACCCTGGTTTTACTAGTTCTAAAAAGCTATGTTTGAGTTATGGAGCAGCATTGTTGCAGGACTGCGCAAATCCACTTTGATTGACAATGTGTAGTCACACGTGTAAATATATCACCGGAATAAAACGAAAAAAGCTGCAAAGCCATTTTCATTGCTAAATGTGTCAAATGATTTTGATTACAACAACAGGACATGCAGCAGACATAATATATACATAGAGAAAAAAGTTAAGCACCCCCAGTGTTTTAGGATGTCGGGGAGAACACAAATGATAGTCCAGCACCCATGACATAGTAGACGTGCGCAAACAGGGACAGGTATCAAAGAATGAGCATTTGGCAATACAAGAACACCAGATTTGACGAATTCACTCAGACGTATATTGCTATAGAGCATGATATGTTGACATGTTTATCAACTAACAATAGATGATGGCGTTTGCCACAGAGGTCACATAGGGTGTTCACAAGAGTTTGGAGTCAGTAACGCGTACTTCCACCATTTGCCCGGATCACGGCCGCAACCCTTCGACTCATACCCCTTACAAGACGTAGAAAGAGAAGCATGGGTAATATGTGCCATTCCTCATGTAATGCCTGTTCAAATTCTCTCAAGTTCTGTACAGGAGGGTCTCTCGCCTGCACACGACGACCTAGGAAGGTGATATCAGGCATTGTTTTGGATGAAGTTGCTCACTATTATGGAACGGTGGGTTCCAGCGTTATCATCCATGTACTCTGGTCCAGAGGCAAGAGTGTGATTGTCAAAATGAGAAACGACAATAGGAACTAGCACCTCCAGGATGCACCGTTCACCAGTCAGATTGCCCTGTATCGTTAACCAGTCCAACATGCAATCATGCGAGAAGCATACCCCAAATCATGACTGAGCCTCCTCCGAAAGGAACCAAGGGAAGGATATTTGGGGGAGTATAGGCTGTATTTCTCTATGCCTCCAGATTCGCACTTGATCATCTTTCGCATGGTGCAAGAGCTGACTTTCATCGGACCAGTGGATCCTCTATGGCCTCAGATTCCAGTTCCTTCTGGCTTGACACCAAATCAAACGCAGACTTTTATGATCATTTGTCAACGGTGGACGTCTGATGACACACCATTTTGTATTTTGATGTATGTGTGTTGTGATGGAGCTTAACTTTTTCCTCTATGTATTTAACGACAGAGAGCAATGGCACTCACTCACCAAAACGTCATATTTGTTTTCTGCATAAATCCGGGAGAGTTTCAAAAATATATCATCATAATTATGTTTTGTATAAACATGTCTGCTTTTAGCAAGATTCCACGGCTGGGGACACTATAAATGGGCTTCATACATTGAACCCTAGTGAGAACAAACACTTTAACCATAAGGCTACCCCACCCCCAAAATAGCTCCCGTGTAGGTTGCAATTAGTTTTTTCCTCAGTATGTATAGCTGCCCGGGAGGCCCCATCTATAAGATGATTCAAACCTCTGGAGTATATGCAGGTTTATACAAGTAGTATGAACTTCAATTGTCCAGTGCAATGTTGGATGCAGTTTCAGGGAACAGAGGATCATGGTACAAGTCCGATAGTCATTACAAGGTCAGATCAGTCCAACTGGAGCAGTTGCTTACACAGCTGACTCAACTGCACAACAACTCAGGATAATTTGAACTATATTGGTCTGTAACATCATCATTAGCTGTTTCTTCCCGTGCGGCAAACACCAGTGAAACAAAGTAGTATTTCCATTCTGAGTAAGTTGGTTGGATGGTTGTCTGACGCCACACCCAACAATATTCCAGCTATGTGGTGGCGGTCTGTAAATAATGGAGTCTGGACCAGACAATCCAGTGACTAATAGCATGAGCATCGATCTATTCAATTGGGATACAATGACATGTGTCAACTAAGTCAGCGAGTCTGACCACCCTCACCACACAACATTGTTTAACACAGGAGGTCTACCTCCAGTGTAATTAAACAGGACACCAAGACGTGGGATGACCATAGTTTATTGCAAATGATCTGTGTGAAAATGAGTCAGATATATACAAAGTCTTCATTATCAAACCATGGTATCTTGACAGAGAAGTTGGCGCTGTTTCTGTAGTCTTCACATCCTCTAACTACCCTCAATGTCAGGGCACTACCCTCAATGTCAGGGCCACTTGGTTGACACACAGCTCTCACAATCATGCCTGTACATTATATAACATATCTACAAAGTCAAGTTATCCCTCCAATCCCAGGAAGGAAGTTTCTCAAGTCAGCATTGTCTGCATCTATTTCAACCACTGTGATACTCAACGCTCAGAACGGCTGCACGGTCAGTCACTGTATACCATCCATGGTCACTTACACGTCTGCCACATAATTAGGATGCACCACCAGGATGGGATCCTCCTCTCTGATCAGGGCCTGTGTGTCGTGCTTTGACTTAGGCTTCATTCCAGTCTGTGTCAGCTCAATCAGAACATGATCCTGAAAATAGAAATGTTCCGTTTTTTTAAATCTTTTGATAACCTTCAGCTGGCTATGCTTTCATCCGCCTTTAAGACATTTTCCTTCTCACCCACAAGTTGTTTTTTCCAGATTTTTATACCATCATGTGGGTTCACAAAAGAAAGTATTTGATTTGAAAGGATCACAATTAACTACACACTCTATCCTTGGTTTCTGTTTAAACTAATAAACAGGGCCGAATTCATCTACTATCGGCCAGAACATGTAAGAAGTGTTCTCATTTCAGATACAGATTCTCTGAACAGACCTCAAGAGCATTAGAAAATGCTGCCATTAAAATGTTTCCACTTACATGATGCACAAGTCTGTCTAAAACTTTCTCTGCAATAGTTTTCTTCTCCATCAGTTCAGCTTCCGAGTCAATCTCTTCCTCCATCTCTGCCAGATACCAGCTGATTAACTCGCTCTTCCTGAGACCAACAGTCTCCTCCCCTGTAAACAATCCGTCATGATGCTAGAATGATGGTTTCCTTCAAGTGCCCTTAACTCTGTACTGTACATGGGTCTGTTTCATATAGAATCTAGTCTAAACTTCTACATTGCATTGTTAAAGTTAACATACAAAATGTGATATTTGTGACCAACTGTTATGTGGTAGTGTTCAAGAACACTGAACATGTGGATGTGACAATGATGTGCTACATCTAGACAGAGATAGACAATGGTAGAATTTGTTGGAAAATCTTCTGCAATCTTAGAAGGGGAGCTAACTCTTGCTTCTCCTCACACATATCTCAAGCCCAGCATTGGCTTGGCCCGATGATTTTATTACATCCCTTGGCTGGCTTTTTATCCAATCAGGTGTCTACGCTGGGAAGTTGAGCTAACCAATCACGCTTCTTACATTTTCTAACCAATTAAACTTTGCAACACAATTCATGCAGAGGTACTCTGAAAGAGGTAGGAGGAGTTCTTTTATATGTTTTGAAAGTTTCAGATCAGTCAATTTGTCTATTATTTCCTAAAAAATCTGAGTGGCACTGTGAACAAACCTTCGCGACAGCGACCGCTATCTTTGTTGACACTGGCAAGCTCAGATGTAACGGTGGCTTAGCTGATTGGCTACTGGGAGAATGCGGAGCCAGCAAAGGGAGGTAATAAAATCATCGGGCCAAGTCGTGGATGCATCCAGGGTATGGTGGAGAGTGATCGTAACGTATACCCTGGAGATTATCGAGGATGAGCATTGTGTGTGATTACTCTGTACCCTGCATACTCTGCCTGGACCGAATATTGGAAGTTGGATCCCTGTTGCTGAGAGGTGCATATTCCCATTATTGTCTTTATTACTGTAATCCATTCTCTCGTGTTATATTACCTTTCAACACTCTACTTTGTCCTTCAACTGTAATACATGAGTATTGATTTGTGAACACATTGTCTATAGCACATTGATTTGTGAACACACTGTCTATAGCACATTGATTTGTGAACACATTGTCTTTAGCACATTGATTTGTGAACACATTGTCTATAGCACATTGATTTGTGAACACATTGTCTATAGCACATTGATTTGTGAACACATTGTCTATAGCACATTAATTTGTGAACACACTGTCTATAGCACATTGATTTGTGAACAGTCTATAGCACATTAATTTGTGAACACATTGTCTATAGCCAATAGATTTGTGAACACAGTCTATAGCAAATTGATTTGTGAACACATTGTCTATAGCACATTGATTTGTGAACACATTGTCTATAGCACATTGATTTGTGAACACATTGTCTATAGCACATTAATTTGTGAACCCATTGTCTATAGCACATTGATTTGTGAACATTTTCTATAGCACATTGATTTGTGAACAGTTTCTATAGCACATTGATTTGTAGTTTGCTGGTTTCACATCAAGTCCCTTTACAGACTGATTCCCCCTTAACTCTTTTGTTTCAACTTTGGCCTCAACACTTGACCCAAACATAAATGGGTATGATGCAGTGGTGCCAACCTCTAAAGAACCTAAAGAGGAGTAATGCCTCTGCGGATGGCACGCATGAAGGGGATAAGCCTAATTAAAGTGAAATGCGTACTTGACGCTGTGTCGATGCAAACTGATATACAATGGAAAGTGACCCCTTTCGCTGTTTGGAGCTACCTGATTTCAGCCAATTAGAGAGCTTGTTATATAAGGTTGTATTCATTTCGAATGCCCCTGCCAACACACCTCACCGTGACAGTGTTTGCCCTAGGCATAAAAATTTAGGAGTCATCATGACGCAACTGTAGAAATAAAGGTTCATTTGATTTATAATTAAAAATGATACATTCTGTTAAAATTCAGAGTTTCATCACAGTAAATCGGAGGTTGGATTTTGAAGTAAATATTTGGAGGAACTCTGCCTGAAAATCAGAGTGGTTGGCACCACTGGTGACTTTACTACTTCTTCCCTACATAGCATTGTGTGCCTGTATAATGCAGGGGTTTTGTACCTAGAGTAGAGGTTTGGAAGGAGAGGTTGACTTATGCTTGGACTAAATGATCTCACAGACTTTTCTAGATGTATCGCTTTCAGGTTCCACTGTCGATGTCAGCTGGCATCCGACAGCCACTGATGTTTGACATAAAAACTTCATTCAAAATAACTGTCCCCCAAACTATTTTGGTTTATGAACTTCCATTGACGACAAATTCTTTGTTCATATTATGCATTTTCAAGATGCAGATCTACAAAGAATACTTTCTACAATTATATTCTGACCATAAAAAACGGGATATACCTCTACAGAACGTACTTATTATTTCCTTTTTATCTCCTCTATGCTGGAAAATTCATAAAAAATTATTTGTCTGCTCGTAAGATGTATTTTACCCTGAAAGTATACAGAATTCATAGTCTTTACTGATTATGGAAAGGTGCTGTGGATCTTTGATCCAGGGGAGATAACTCTGTCTTCTCACCTCCTGTGGCCCCTTCCTCTTCCTCCTTGCGTTTCATCTGTAGCACCATGAGGTTGGCCATCTGCTTGTACTCCTCGTATGTCAGCTTCAGTCCCTTCTTCTGGACCACCACAGGCTCCACTGGCGTTGCAGACTCCTCACTGACAGGCTGAGACTCTTCTGGGGACAGAAAACAGATTAGGGTATAGGGTATATTAAGAAAATTACAACAGTTGATGGAGCTGGCAATGCCTTTCGGTGAAGCACTTCACACACTGATATCTGGGCCAGATAAACCAGTGGTGGTTAATCAACAGTCTAGTTTACTCTAGAAATCCAAAGCAGATAAAGATGAGCTAGGTGGTGTCCCTACCTTCAACCTCCATGTCCTGCTCTGCTTGTTCCTCCTCCAGGTGTATGTCGGGCTGCTCGACCCGGATGATGGACTTGTTCAGCAGCCGGAATGCTTCCTTCACGTGCTTGGGCTGCACCTGGATGAAAGGGGCAGAAAGGTATCAGAGAGTGCATTAACCCCCTTGATGCCGAATTTTTTTTCAGGCGCACATTTTCATACGGTTTGAAAAGTGAACGTTGTGCGAGAATTGCTCTCGTGTTGTTCTGGATCTACGTACGGCAAGAAAATTACACAGAAATGTAGAATATTAAATTTCCTATCCGTTGGTATAAATATAAGTGCAACTACCTTGGCGGTTTGAGAAATAGACACTGCTAAATGTTGTCCAAAGTTTGTTATGCGTTAAAAAACCCGTAAATTTATCCGCTTTTTATCGCGCACCGATAAAAGCACTGTGCTACGAATTTTTTAATGTGGCATCTTTACAGAAAGTGTGAGCGAAGAAAATACAGCCTGATATCTGAACGACATAAGTGTATATAAATTGGATTTATGTGCTTGTGCATAACATTATACGCTCAACATTAAAAATGACTCGTAATAAGTGTCTAAAATGGATTTACTTCTATGACGTCAAACGACGACAGAGAGGTCATACAGGTATAATGATAAGGGGACATAACTCCGTTATGCGTAACACTAGGTCAATGTAACTCAGATCACATGGAGAGTATTTGTTGTGGATACGGACGCTATATTTTCGTTATTTTTTGTTCACGGTGAACCAAACTATTCCAATTCAAAGTTCCCCAATGTGAGCGGATACGCTCTGGTAGTTTCACAATTTATAAGAAAAGATGACAACGTATTACATGTGAAAGCACGAAATAGTGATTTGGATGGCCCTATCCGATATATAAGTTAGTTCTTAGATTCCCATATTCTCCTGTTTGTGTAGATGAATTTTGACTAATTTTGCAACGTTATTACCAGAATACTAGCCATATCTTCAAATGTAATGAAATTGCTGGAAAATAATACAACATTTTAGTTGACGTCATTGCTTGTTTTATGCAATTTGCGACGTCGAAAAAGACGACATTGGTATGCTGATTAGTATACATCTCACCTAATTTCCATTAATTGTGTGAAAGGTCTCGGCTTCTTTGTCAGAATTAACACTCTTTAGACAAAACATAAAATGACTGTTTTTTTCATTTTAAATAGTGTCCTGAATATATCAACAATTAGACAGTTGGACTGTGTATCTTATCATGAGCAACACGCGCACCTGTTTGGCATCAATTTAACGTAAATGAAAAATAACATTTCACAACACCTGAATATTTTGTTAAGGATAGGAATTTTATTTATTTATGATTATGTAGCTATTTCTCTTCGTAAGTATGCAATGGAAGATGCAAAAAAGATAGCTTTTTATATATGGAACTAGTACGTACTATATATTACAATATGGATGTAAGATTTGTCCAAATTAAGACATGACATGGTTTATACATTTTCCAACAATTTTCGTATAAATATAGTTAGAGTTTGATATCCTGTCATCACAATATTTTTAAATCGAATATGAATTGATTATATAACGAAAACAATGATAGTGAATCATAAAACGTTTCCGACAAACGCGCACCTGGCCAATCAATTTACATCATTGTTTTCTCGATTTATGTATGTTATGAAATGTATATGCACACACATTTAAAGGAATTGTCTTGTTATTGCACATTTTTTCTGTCGTTTTATAATTTTCATTAAATATTATCAGTTTTACTTATAAGGTTTAATCAAATCGACGTTCATTAACCTGTTCATGTGAAACTGCAATATTAGTTCAAATGCATTGAATATTGTACATCATAGGAACTAAAGTAATTGCAGTTATGCCTACGTTTGATCTTCTTACACTTGTGTAAAGGTTTAGAATATGGTGTACTGCACTAAATGTGTCAATTTCTTATGTAAATATTATTCAAACAATCAAAATCTTTCAAAGAATAAAACATCGTAAACCCTATATGCACGTATGATATGCTATTGGATAAGGCTAAATGTAGATACTGAGGTCAGTTTCATGAAAAAGTATCTGAACTATCCGCAAAATATACATCATAATACTGACAGTGTAATCGGAAGGATTGGGCGATTTTGTTTACTCTTGTTCAACCGACCTTCACCTCAATGAAATTGCCTAATATGTACAACAATGTTGACGTATGACATCACTACCGATGACCTATTTCTTACAAAATGGCGGCTTTGCTGACAAGGATACACAGGATTTTGCGAGGACCCTTCCATTGATTCAGGGATCGTTTGTACATAAATATGACATGTAAGTAATCAGAATGATTCTGACTAACTGTGTATTGCTATATGTTTCTATCGTTTCACTGTAAGTAAGAGAAGAAGCCAGAAATGCAGATAATTACAGTTGTCGTTCTGCATGATTTTGCGTCAGTCATGGCGTCACGCTGCACGGAAACTTTGACAATTTCTTATGAATTATCAAATCATTGCATTGTATCTATTTATAATTTCCTATTTCTTACTACAATACTCTTTCCATGCATATTCAAAAGGTATTGAGCCATTGCAAGCTATGAAAAGACGGATGAGTGTTGGAAAATTTCAGAAAATGCTACGCAGTGTAAATTCGGAATTTGTCTTTGTTTACATTTCCAACCAACGCAGTCTTTCGAGCACAGCATTCGTTTTCACACCCAATATGTTTCCTCTCATTTTATCTAGACAGTTGGTATTGGTGACACAGACCAGTTGCAGTTTGATTCTAAAATGTATGGGGAATTCAGTGATGCATCTTTCGAAGCTGAATATGAAACATAATGCGATGTAATAGGCGTCTCAATACCGGCCTTCGCGAAACGTGATTTTGTAAACACTATCCAATATGGCGGAAAAGCACTCTACGGCGTTCGTGTAAGTGCATTTTCGAAAACATCCCAACCGATTCTAGATTCATCGGCAACGTTTCATAATTATAATTTGCGATTTCATGTAAAACTGATATCAGTGATCATGAATATGTTATTTTTGAAATTCAATTATCTGATTTTCACATTTCAAAACATACAGCAAATAACGCTGTGAATCGCGAGTTCGTATACTCGTCAAAAATGGCGCCATTTTCGATGAAGCCTATTTTGAAAGGTCATTTTCAACACTTGAGCTTTGTCTAAAAAAAATAGTGCATGGTATCAAGAAACAGGAAATTTCCCGCAGAATTCGAAACTGTGAAGTGTATTTGTGTGCGTGGGATATTTTGATTTTTATTGGACTTCAAATTGAGGGTTGAAGGGGAAGGACATATATGTCCCTGTGGCATCCAGGGGGTTAACTATACTCCAACAGACATTGAGTACAATGGAAACAGTAGAATCATCCTATATTCACTTCAAGCTAGAGAATCTCAGTGATTATGACCTTTCACCATGATGAATATTTGAGAAAAAAATTCTCAGTCAAAGACAGTGTGGAAAGAACTTTTTGAAAATTTACAAACATTAACTACCCTGAACTTCATAGCTATTGTATTTGCAGCTCTCAGACAAAGGTATATTAACTAAGCCTAATCCACTATGCTTGTAAAACACACAGTGCAATTCTGTCATATAAAAACAACAACATTTAAATATGCATCTGATCTGAGACAAAGTAGACGGATGTACCTCGTCTTGGCAATGCATCCTAGCCATCCCCTCCGACAGTCGGATCATACTCTCCAGCTGTCGGACCGTGATCCTCCATGCCGACTTGGCCGCCCCTGTGCCGTCACGCTGTCGCAGTCGCTTGTACTCCTCTATCATGTATTCCTGGGACTCCTTGTTAATCTGACATAAAAGAAAGTCTTGTCATTAATCAAACCACTAGGAATCCATCACAGGACAAATACCAATAAATGGATATTTTAAACTACTACCAGCTGGAAACACTAAAGCAACAATGTGCTCTTTCGAACATGACCAAACAAAATTCATCTTGGTGTTCTTCAGAACTTGAATTTATCATGACATTGGTTTAGCCGATTCATATGAAACTGACTCCTCACCTTGGGTTTGAACTGTCTGGCGAACGTAAGGTATCGTGTGATCTCCTCCACGGTGTAGACCCTCTCCACGGACTCCTCCAGGTGACTGTGCAGGTCAACGATCCGACGGGCGATGGCGTAGTCCACAACCTAAACACAACACACAGGTCAGACGAACCCCGAGATTAATCTCATTTAGATATCTCAGATACCAACAAAACCATAGTTACACTCTAGAATAAACAAACATAATGGGATAATAATGGGATAGCTATAATAATTTGAGCACAATGGATACAATGACTTGTCAAATGATGGCTGTAAGTACCGATGCATCCTGCATGGTTCCATTGACACTCTACCACAGAAAGCAAGGACACACCTCTATCTGTCAACAGATTCTTATATCAAAGAGTAGTCGGCCTTGAGGCATTATAGGTATTGTATAAATACAAGCGAAATCCATCCTGACTTGCATTGGTAGATCGGCAATATTTAGCTATTGTTGTGAGGGCAAGTATTACATCACATTGAGGTATGTTAGACTGTATTATCAACTGTATCTCACCTCATTGCACTCATCAACGAGGACGAAGAAGAGATCGAATCTGGACATGATTGGGGCTGTGAGGGTGATGTTCTGCTTCAGCGACTTTGTCCGGTCATAGCGGCCACCGATGGGATTAGCCGCTGCTAAGATCGATGTCCGTGCATTGAGTGTCGCCTGCAACAGAACCACATTATAGTAATACTGAACAATGAACAATACCATGAGAACAATTAATACCGAGAAAACATAGGACACATAAAACACTGAACACAGCAATCAGAAAGAATGAATTTCGATAGGCTACATCATTCCTTAATGAACTTCTGTGAAGATTTAGGGTTAATCAAAACAAAGTTGAATTTTTTTACCCAATATACCACAACAACACAGTAAAAATATTGCAATAAATATTGTTTACAAAGCATACTGCACCAGTATTTCAGAAATACCATAAGGTCTTACAGAAATATGTTTGCGAGACATGACATTCTGGGTGCAAAGTTCTGGTCAAAATAGAGCAGTGACAGCTTCATGCAGACTGATATGCATATTGTAAGTTCTATTCTGAGCAGGATATGGAGTTCACAAGAACACTGATGAGTTATAAAAGAGAAGTACAGTCAAACAAACATTTCTACAGTAGTGTCGAGTTCATTACTCACTCGGACTCCAGCCTTGGTGATGGAGATGGTCTGTTGTTCCATGGCCTCGTGAATGGCCACCTGATCCTTCGGGTCCATCTTGTCAAACTCATCAATGCAGCACACGCCATTGTCTGCCAGCATCAGGGCGCCAGCTTCGATGACAAACTCATGTGACTCTTCATCCTTGACAACTGCCGCCGTGAGACCAGCGGCACTACTGGCTTTCCCGCTGGTGTACACAGCCCGGGGGACTGAAATCTTCCACTTGTTTCAGAAACTGACTCTTAGCCGTACTAGGGTCACCCACAACACAGATGTTGATGTCCCCACGGAGGTTCGTGCCCTCGGTTGTCACCTTGGGAACCCCTCCAAACAGCATGAGCAGAATGCCTCGCTTTATCTCGTCATTCCCTGCATCAATAAAAGAAAACTGTCAGGAGAGAAGAACCACCTTTACCAATGACGCACAGAAAAAAGTGACTGGGTCAACACTTGATGGTCGGGATGTTTCTTTCAAAAACTTGACTGCTGAGACTAATTTCAATCTTTTTCTTGAACCACAGAACAAGAATGCGTCTCGTGAGTAATTAGGCTATCATAACCGAACTATATCTAGCACCATACTCTCAGTGACTTGCCAAATGTCATAACCCTATCCCTTTGTACCTGTGCGACCTAGTCAAAACAAGCAGATCTTCAGCTCTTAACATAACTTACTTCAGCTTGATCCCGCTGTACATTTAAGGTTACCAGAGCACAGCTTCCGCACACAAGTGAATGTTTGGAAGGAAACAATACTCAAGTTATCTAACAGCACCTTGTAAATATACAAGTTAATCCGGCAAGTGAGGATGATGGCATGCAGTGAACAGCCTTGGTTGTCAGCATACGTTTTTTTCTTCAGACTCACCAGGTATTGTTTATCACTCACCAGGTATTGTTTATCACTCACCAGGTATTGTTTCACAGACTCACCATATGTTGTTTTTCACACTCACCATGTATTGTTTTACAGACTCACCATGTATGGTTGGGAAAAGACTCGAGCAGAGGTTCTGGTAGAGAGCTTTATCTTGACTCATCTCGTACACCTTCTGCCATTCCTCATCAGTCATCTGCTTCTTTATGGTCTCAGCCGTCATTTCTTCATCCCCCATGTTTCGGCCACCAAACTGGGGAATGGATTACACAGTCATATAGAACAGACAACTACAGGAAGATAACTTCCTGGATACTTTTTATTACTTTTAGGACATCGAGTGTCTGCAACATAAATATTTTATTACATATGTGCTGGCATATAGAGGAATTTTAATCCCAATATGTTACAATCACAAAAAGACTCTGTATTGACGCACGTCTAGTGTCTGGTATGTGATCTACGCTCTCTCAACAATTCTGTAATTCCTCAACCACTGTTTACCACCGCTTACAGAGACACCTGTTGACAGGTATGAAACAACACAAAATCGGCCAGGTTATACTCAGGCAATTGAGGTATTTATCCATAGGTACTTCAGTCTAGGGTTGCCTAAAACGTTTGATGTTTTACAAATAATCATCCCATGCTTAGATTTCAAACTTTGAATGCTCCATATGAAACCTGATAATTTTCGAGGGTGATGTTGTTACTCACCCTGGGATTGCTCTGTGTGACTGTGCAGGCCAGGAAGGAGAGTCTGTACGTGAGGTCACGCACCCCGAGGGCCTTCAGGCCACGCACACCCTCTGTCTCATAGCCGTCATTACCTCGCAGACGTGATGATGTCTCTGAACGTGCACCTGCAAATACAAGTTAATACTATTTATCTTCAGTTCTGTTTGTGGTTTAATGCCATTTCCTATGCACTATTATTTAATAGGGGTGAAACAGTACACTCCTACCACCGTACGATACGTATTGCAGTAAAAGGCCTTCGGTTCGGTCTGTTTCGGTTCGGTATATGAGAACTTACTTCCGAGAAAATACCGGAGGTCTGGCCAAGCAATGCAGAGATTTTGACAAAATGATTCGATTCCTAGACATTTTAGAAAAGGTTTTAAAAGGTTAATAAATGTCGGTTAGAAAACCAAATATACCGAATTTGGGGATTGCATAACTGTATACCGAACCGAAGGCAAAATACAGTGGTTCTACTAATACAGCGGTTTACCGCTTCAAACCTATTACTCATGAAATTCTATTCCTGATATTTTCAGGAACTTTATTTGGAATTACAATAAAGAATTCAATATTAGACAATGCCTTCGTAGAAGAAGACCTAGATCAAGATTGCCGTGGGAGAGAACATTGATGAATGAAAACCTCTGAATATAAAACAAAATAATCAAGAGGTTACATTGCTCACTGAGTCAATTATCTGAGCACGACACATTTCAGTAGTTAAGGCTTCATAATTCTTGTGATTTGTGAAAGGGTTGCGGAAACAATGTGGTTCACTCTCCAAGTTGTGAACATCCATGTCTGAAGAACTTAAACTTGGGGATGATGAACCTCGACAGAAAAGAAAACCCTGTTCTACTGACCTGGAACAGACATGCTGCCAACGTCTGGGATGACGATCAGTGTGCCGGTGAAGTCACAGCGGTCACCAGCCTGTGCGGACTCCACAGACTCAGCTCTCAACACTACCTCCACACTACAACAGATGACAGCTTTCAGAACCTTTCTTGTAACTTATTCATGTCACACATCATGGGCATTAAGCCATAACAGGCCCGACATTTACTACAAATTTGAAAATGTTTAATACCTAAGAGTGTATTGCAGTTGGTAGTCACTGAAAGTCCACCCTCCATCTCATTAGTCTGTTATACAAGGTGAGCCCAAATGGAAATTACCATTGCCTTAAAGGTCACATGCAACATAAAACACAACTTTGCAGATTCTGATACCTTTCGGTATGGACAGACCGAAACAAATCGTCAAAAATGCAAATTCAACTTATAAAGTTGAAAAATAACGCGATGAAAAAATACAAGCGAAATCGGAGTTCAAACGTTTCACTAATTTTCCCCCGACTTTTCTGGGGAAAACGGGTTTCAACAGCTGGGCTGTGCTCATAGCACGTCATGCAAAGTAAATAGGTTCGCGCAGCTTGGAAGCCAAATTGTCGGGTGAATACTTGGTGAAGGCTTTGGTGTGAGCTATTTTTCTAATGTTTTGTTGATATCTCACAGGCGAAGCTTTTATATGTTATGACAGTAAATTAACTGTTTATATAATTTCATTTGTCTATTTCACCACTGCGTTCTTCTTATCCGAGACACTTTCTCAGTTCGATACTTAAAAAGCAATGTCATTATTTAGCGTTGACAGAATTTCTAACTGTGATATAGATATGTCGATTTGTCTGAATAAAAACTCAATGTCTTGTTTTATTGACACCTGTGTGTCTGCCTGCCTGTCTGCTAATGACCATATTCAATACACAGCTGCTATCACTGACCACATGCAATTTGAACTTAACACCAATCAGGCTATACACCATAAACAAAATGCATTGATTTATGGCCCGAGTTTGGTCTCTGTCACATTATGTAATTACACAGACAGGCAGGTGTGATACTTGAACACATGACATGTTAAGATGTCTGTTGATTGCAAAATGTTATACACAAAAAATGAGCATGTATTTACAAAACCCAACATCTCCATATATATATACACACAATTAGCCGTGAAGGCATCTGCAAATGAACCAGCCGTTACACTTGAGTGCACACCCACCCGCTCGGACTGGGTTCGGTATCCCGGCTGCTTCGCTTCTTGGGAAGTAAACCGAAGTACACAATTTTGCACTTTCGATTTGCGATTGTACGCTTATAATTTTGTTTATATATTTTTTCGTAACCAGCAATGTATATTATATGTCATGAATAAGTGATAATTGTGTTTTAATTGTGTTTTAATTATGTTTGATTTTTTGGTTGCATGTGACCTTTAAGGTTATTGCACCAATATAACAGCATGCAGGACTATAAAGCTGCTTGTACAAGACTGAGCAAGCATCAGTTTCCCATGGTGCCACCACTGATATCAGATGCTGTAGTTCTACACAGATTCAGTCATTAAGAGTGCAGGTAGCAGGGTAACAAAACCCATTACGAAGTGTCGTGACCAGCAGATGCTACAACAACCTTCACTTCTCAGGGCAGACACTCTATCTGCTACAACAGAGGATACAAAAGAGGTGTTGTACCCAATCATTGTCAAACAGTTCCTGCATGCAACTGTCAGAGAGTGTGTCACCAAATATTCAACATAGCGTTTGGGACTTGTACCTTCTAGGAATGCTTCCTCTTGGGAGTTCCGCCTGTGTCTCCTGAATCCTGACTTTCTGGAAGTCTACGAAGCGCGATTTGTTGACATCCAGCATGAAACGGGTTCGGTTGTTGCACACTGGATTCCGGCAGATGGTTGGCTGCAAATCATAGTTACCTCCCCTTGATTAACTGTGCACTTCACAAGCTACAACTAATTATGCAACTGATTTCAGAATCGAACAATGCAACATGGACGTCACCTAAGAATGCTTCTCAGTCTAGAAAACATATTGCAATTTAGTAAGTTCTGCTGATGAAAGTCAAAACAAACTAGATGATTTATTGAAAAATATGTTACGTGAAAGGTCCAGGCTCGTAGATGCCATTATTTCTGGCACTGTGATAAAGTGGTGCAAATTTTACTGTATGTCATGTAATTTGATTGGAACACTGTACAAATCAAATTTCTAGAGCAGCTAAAGAATGTGTGTAATTTCAATTACCTGTATCCATCACACTAAATCAGGATGAATTAAACTGCACATACCTGAGTGTATTTAAACTGTTGCTCTACGTCCTTCATGACAGTCCGACAGTCCAGACACATGAATGTGCCAGACACTAGCTCTGGGTGGACAGGGTGGGGTTGGACGACTTGACCTGTGATAATTGCATAGCATAGTTCCTGATCTTGGCGCCGTCATCTCCGTACTCTGTAATCAAGCAGAACAATCAGCATCTGTTCACATATTGATGAGCTGGGGAGACGCAGCTCCAAGCTTAGACATATTGCCATCTAGCTCTTCAAAATATTTTCCTTCAGGGCATTTCAAACTTTCACATGCACATTAAAATTTTAAGAGCCATGTTCATTTTGCATGCTTTTCAGGTTTATAAAATGTATTAAAGACAAGACTGAAAACATTCTTGCTGTTTAAATCTGTAACCACAAGCTTAGAATTCCTGAAGAATGAACAAGCCTCAGGTAATTCGGAGATAGGTATTGAAATGACTAAAATGAAGGTGTTATTGGCCAGTCAGAAAGCAGCTTTCTCAGGTTTGACTGCACTAGTTTCATATGACGATTCAATTCTGGACTGGGTTTTGAAAACTATTCCGACAAAATTCCCAGTTCATGGAGAAGACAGAATGGCTTTACATCTACTCTGGAAAGTATTCCATTACAAGTGTTGATCCCAATGAATTGAGAGTTAAGACAATTTTGAAGGAATCAGTTGTACACCTGGTTTTAACCTTTGACAGCGTATGAAAGGAAAATACAGCAACACTTCAAAATTTGCAATGTCAGCTAGACAGAACACAGACTTAACCATGTTAACACTTCCCACTTCCACCCATGGTGGATCAATGACGAATAATTTCCAACACTACAAGCCATCCTAATTATGAACATGTGATATGACCTATCTTTGAAAAGATGACAATGGTTATCAAATGTCACACTGACAAATCAGTTGAGATCTGTACTCACTTGAGTCGTGTGGGGACGTCCGTGAAGCTGACATAGAATTCCTTGGCAGGGGGGATCTGGCCCCAGTCCTTGGCATAGTTCTTGAGGGCCCGGCACAAGTATGGATACACCCTTATAGGAAATTCAGATTTTAAGATTGCAGTTGAAAAAACATCAGTATCAAATGTATTACGTACAATCCATCATTTGCATATTCCTAACTTACCACTCTAGTTATGTAAACTTTGCCATTCTCTTGCTGACGTTTCAGGACCCATACAGCAAGTATACTCCTACTATCAATACATAAGACTTGTCATCATCATCCCACAGTATTCTACAGCCCGATCACTGTTGTGCCAATCTCTGATAACTCTATATCTCAGTTGTCTCGATATAACATCTCGGTCCCGGCAAAATCCTTCATAATTTATCATTATTCAAGATTTAACTCGAAATGGATGTCTCAGTATTTCTGATATCTTGATATAATTTCATAGTCCCAACAAGCAAAATTACCCTTTTGACTCGATATTTGCAAAAAAACTTGATATTCACCTACTTTTCATGGGCAAGTATCCCTCTGAACTGAGGTTGTTGTCAAGCCGCCATTACACTTGCGGTGAGGCATGAATCAAAGGGATGCGGTAGTGTAAACTAATTAGGGCTAATAGAGTTGAAGGTGTCACTTGTTTGTTATTTAATTAGGATTAATTAAGAAGGAATTTATTAGGAAGTACACACTGTTAAGACTAAAGAGTAGTCGGCGCTGGGCATTATAGGTATTATATAAATACAAAGCGAAATCCATCTGACTTGCATTGGTAGATGGCAATATTTAGCTATTGTTGTGAGGGGCAAGTATTACATCACATTGAGAGGTATGTTAGACTGTATTATCAACTGTATCTCACCTCATTTGCACTCATCAGCGAGGGGCGAAGAAGAGATCGAATCTGGACATGATTGGGGCTGTGAGGGTGATGTTCTGCTTCAGCGACTTTCATCAGGTCTTGGCGACCACCGATAGGTTAGCGGCTGCTAAGATCGATATCGTGCATTGAGTGTAGCCTGCAACAGAACCAATTATAGTAATACTGAACAATGAACAAGACCATAGAACAATTAATACCGAGAAAACATAGGACACATAAAACACTGAACACAGCAATCAGAAGAATGAATTCCGATGAACATCATTCCTTAATGAACTTCTGTGAAGATTTAGGAGTTAATCAAAACAAAGTTGAAATTTTTTACCCAATATACCACAACAACACAGTGAAAATATTGCAATAAATATTGTTTACAAAGCATACTGCACCAGTATTTCAGAAATACCATGAGGTCTTACAGAAATATGTTTGCGAGACATGACATGACATGATTCTGGGTGCAAAGTTCTGGTCAAAATAGAGCAGTGACAGCTTCATGCAGACTGATATGCATATTGTAAGTTCTATTCTGAGCAGGATATGGAGTTCACAAGAACACTGATGAGTTATAAAAGAGAAGTACAGTCAAACAAACATTTCTACAGAAGTGTCGAGTTCATTACTCACTCGGACTCCAGCCTTGGTGATGGAGATGGTCTGTTGTTCCATGGCCTGCGTGAATGGCCACCTGATCGCTCGGGTCCATCTTGTCAAACTCATCAATGCAGCTACGCCATTGTCTGCCAGCATCAGAGCCAGCCGATGACAAACTCATGTGACTCTTCATCCTTGACAACTGCGCCGTGAGACCAGCGGCACTACGCTTTCCAGCTGGTATACACAGCCGGGGACTGAAATCTTCCACTTGTTTCAGAAACTGACTCTTAGCATTACTAGGGTCACCACAACACAGATGTTGATGTCCCCACGGAGGTTAAGGTGCCCTCGGTTGTCACCTTGGGAACCCCTCCAAACAGCATGAGCAGAATGCCTCGCTTTATCGTCATTCCCTCGTCAATAAAAAGAAAACTGTCAGGAGAGAGAAGAACCACCTTTACCAGTGGCGCAGAAAAAAGTGACTGGGTCAACACTTGATGGGTGGGATGTTTCTTTCAAAAACTTGACTGCTGGAACTAATTTCAATCTTTCTTTGAACCACAGAACCAAGAATCGTCTAGGTGAGTAGTTAGCTATCATAACCGAACTATATCTCGCACCATGCTCTCAGTGACTTGCCAAATGTCACAACCCTATCCCTTTGTACCTGTCGCGACCTGTAGTCAAAACAAGCAGATCTTCAGCTCTTAACATAACTTACTTCAGCTTGATCCCGCTGTACATTTAAGGTTACCAGAGCACAGCTTCCGCACACACAAGTGAATGTTTGGAAGGAAACAATACTCAAGTTATCTAACAGCACCTTGTAAATATACAAGTTAATCCGGCAAGTGAGGATGATGGCATGCAGTGAACAGCCTTGGTTGTCAGCATACGTTTTTTTCTTCAGACTCACCATGTATTGTTTTTCACAAAGTCACCATGTATTGTTTATCACTCACCAGGTATTGTTTCACAGACTCACCATAATGTAATTTTTAGAGTAAAATTGATATTTTATACTTATCCTGACTCATGCTCTTTTTGCTTGTCTTCTTCTTCTTGCGAACATAGTGGAACACTTGTATCTCCCTAATTGAAGCTCCCTTCAAGTATAAAATCACTAATTAGTACACTACGCGAGGTTACCTCCCTTCCACAGCGGGGAGCGAGGCCTCACCCAGTGTGCCTCACTCTCTCCTCATATGCTTGAGGCCCAACATTTTGAATTTACAGGAAATCCAAAGTGTTATGTGGGGAGGATGGGAGGCCTACCTCATGAGTCAGGATAAGTATAAAATATCAGATTTTACTCTAAAAATTACATATTTTTTCCTTATCCTGACTCATATCTTGCTTGTAGAATCCTCGGAGGAAAAGGAGGTGGAATATATAATACTTTGGATTTTTTAATAATGAGTGATTTGAACTGTGATGATTGTAATAACCGTATGGAACTTCATAAAGGGCTGACTGATGAATTCCTGCTGCTAACTTATCAGCTGCCATATAAAGGTTATTACAATGTACTAATACAATGTACTTATTATGATAAAGTATATATAACATTAATACAATGCTTAAGACTAATAGACTTAAGCTTGTTGAGAATGCTAGTATAAACTCCTTAGAGTTTGTTGGCTAAATTACTTTAAAGATATAAACATAGTACTAAGCTTAAGATATGCTTAAACTTAAGCTAATTATATAATAGCAAAACTCTTTAGGAGTTTGTTAGCTAATATACTTATATGATATGAGCTTAAGATATGAATAAGCTTTAGCTACATATATAATAGCAAACTCTGTAGAGTTTGTTAGCTAATATATTTTTACAATATGAGTATAGTACTGTATTTTAAGATATAATTAACTTAAGCTACATATACAATGTAGCCAAACCTCTGTAGAGTTTATTGGCTAATAGACTTATATTGTTACCATAGTATTAAGCTTAAGATATGATTAGACTTAAGCTAAATGTATATAGCAAAAACTCATAGAGTTTTTTAACTAATATACTTTTATGTTAAAAACATAATACTGAGCTTAAGATATGATTAAACTTAAGCTATATATAAAAGCAAAACTCAAATAGAGTTTGTTAGCTAATACATTTTATAATGTAACCATACTGCTTAAGATATGATGAACTTAAGCTAAATATATAATAGCAAAAACCTTTTAGGTTTTGTTAGCTAATATACTTATATGATATAAATATAGTATTGAGCTTAAGATATGAAGGAAACCTTAAGCTACATATATATAATAAAAACTCCGTGAGAGTTTGTTAGCTAATACATGTTATAATGTAACCATAAAGCTTAAAATATGATGAAACTTAAGCCAAATATATAATAGCAAAACTCTTTTAGAGTTTGATAGCTAATATACCTATATGATATAAACATAGTAAATGCTAAACAAGATATGAATAAGCTTAAGTTACATATATAATGCAAAAACTCCGTGAGTTTGTTAGCTAATACATGTTATAATGTAACCATAATGCTTAAGATATGATGAAACTTAAGCCAATTAGCAAAACCTCTTTAGAGTTTGTTGGCTAATATACTTATATGATATAAACATAGTACTGAGCTTAAGATATGAATAAGCTTAAGCTACCTATATAATAAAAAAAACTCCGTGAAGAGTTTGTAGCTAATATAATTTTTACAATATGTGTATAGTACTATGCTTAAGATATAATTAACTTAAGCTACATTATATAATAGCCAAAAACTCTGTAGAGTTTATTAGCTAATGCATTTATAATGCAACCATAGTACTACGCTTAAGATATGATTAACTTAAGGTAAATATATAATAACAAACTCTGTAGAGTTGTTAACTTATATTGTATGATGTAATAATCATAGTACTGTGATGATAAAAAAGAACTTAAGCAAATTATATATAGCATGTAGCTATTTAGTACTGTTATAAGATAAGTAGAAATCTGTAAGATTGACTTATCTTCTCGAGAACTGTCAACTGTTGTCGCGAGGACCCTGGAACCGAATTGGTGGATACCTGAGGCGTCCTTGACGGTGATATCTCTCAGATAATGGTTGGCAACCACCATATCGGATCTCCAGAAATAACCCCTCCATAATTTCAAATAACATTTGTGTAGATCAATTGTAGAAGTTAGCTCTAATATCATGAGTATTAGAAGCTCATGGAGGGTCGGATCAGGTCCATCAGTCTTGTAGGCACATAGTATGACAGTTCTGATCAAAGGAGATGGTAGTACATGAGACTTCAGTCTGCGTAACTTGAATATAGAGGAAATAATCTGATGCATTTTTCCCTCCTGTTTGGTTCGGTTGGAGATAAATTTACAGTGCTCTTGCTGGCCATCGTGATAGAATCATCGTATCATGAAGTCAAGTATGTCATCCAAGCGTGTTCATAAACCTCACTTGTGAGGTGTTGGAACACTATATACAGATCGAAGTTGGGCGTGAAACTTCCGTTTAATCCTCCAATCAAGAAAGCTTAAGTAGGTTTACTAACCATCTAGTTGTGTTAGTAGTTTGATGATGAAATTCAGTTGTAGACTGAGAGCGCTGTGGATTTAGATCCACTTGT